GAAGAAAATCAGCTCTTTTCCTCGGTTCTGTGGTGTAAGGAATGTCGGCGTCTCTAGCTGTCGAGAGAGAGAGAGAGATGCTTAGCAGCCACTTCAACGAAATCATCTGAAAATATCTCCGTGCACTCATGAATAGCCACACCTTTGGTCTTTTCACTGATGTTTGGATTGATGCTCTCCTTCAGTGAGTTCACTAGAAATGCAAAAAAAAAAAAAAGTTTATTCCAAAATCCTGCAAGACGATAAATATTTAAAATGGACATACCTTTATCAGAAACTCTGCTGAATTCCCTTTGAAGTGTTTCCTCCAGGCCTCCGTTCAGGTCGCCCAGGCCGTCTCTCATTGTTTTATACATGAAATACGTCAGGGCATCCGTGTTGGGCATCTCCACAGTCCTCATGGGAAAATGGAGAGACCTGCATTTCTGCAGAGGTGTGAAGATAATTGAATCACAGATTTGATTTTTAAATGCAAATTTTTTTTAACTGTATTGTAAAATCAAATTCTTAATGAAAATGTCTATGGAGGCGAAATTATTCAAGAGTTAAAATGTGTAGTTTGTCTCCACTTTAAGCACCAGAGTAAGTAAACCTTAACTCTCATTTAGCTTGGCATTTATTTTCTGAACCGTCTGGTTGTCTTAACTGGGGAAAAGAGTTCAGGACATCAGTTTACCCAGCCTGCTGATTTTCTGTTAAGGATGTCAAACTAGTTTTCAAACGTCTTATTGAATTCCCATTTTCAGGACGGAAGGAATATTATCCAACTCTGAAATTGAGTTGTATAATATGCTGCTAATAACATGAAAAAAAATATCCTGTGGTTATGATAAAACCACAGATACACTCCTATCCTTTTGATATTCTTCTCTTCCAACTATTAATTACAGAGAAGGAATAGTCGCTGGTTCAATCTGCTCCGATAGATCTTACAATTGGCTGCTTAACCCTTGTTAATCATGCATATGCTGACTTCAGTAGAAAGTTAATTTGAATTTTATTAAAAAATTGATTGCAAAATGGGCTTAACTTTAACCACTAGATGGCAACAGTGTGTTCAGGACAATCCGGTATGTGCAAGTTAGTGGGGTAAATTTGTGACAATCTTGAAATACTTTTATAGTTTAGCATTGAAAAATGATGAATTTTCAGAAACTAAAATGTTAGTTTTTAAGTAACGTCTTTGTTTAAAACTGAGAAAAAGACTTGTAACCTATGGTTTCTGAAGGCAAAAATCTGGCATAGAAATGCAGCTCTGTTGGGAGATGTAGCTTTCTGCCTTTAGAGGAGTTGAAGATTTGAGGTGAGCTTCCACCCCGCCAGATGTTGAGGTGTTCCTGGGCAGAACATTGACCCCAACCCCCCAGACATCACCATTATGCACATCAAATAGCAATAAGTTCCGCTTCCATACCTGGAGGAAGTGGATGTGGTCCTCCGAGCGAGACAGCCTCTCCAGCTCGGCCTCGGTCCTCCGGTGCTCAGCCATCTCCCTCTGGATCTTCTCCAGCATCTCCTCGGCCTGACCAACCACCAGTCTCTCCTGGGATTTGATCATCTCCTTCACCTCTCCGCTTTGTTTCTCAATGGATCGAATCAGCTTGGAGAAAATCCTTTCACTCTCCTCCACCACAGCCTCCGCGGAATGCTGGAAAGGTTAAAGTTCTTTATTTACCTGGAAAACCACTTCTCTTTTTTGTGTTGCATTGTACAGAAAGAACGTTGCAGCCTCTTGTGTATGCAGTTGATCTCACCTTCATGTATCGTATGGCGTATCTCAGTTCCTTCTCTGCGTCCTTCAATTTCTGTACCGACTTCAAAGAAGTTTCTTTGAGTTTTTTCTAAGAATACAACAGATAAATATCACATGGGACCATCTCTCTCTTTATAGGGAAAGAATTTATTCCAAGGTTGGCTTTCAGAGTGGAACATTTTGATTCGGCAAAGCACTGAGTTACACTGGAAAGGTTTTGATCCATCAGCTGTGTGTTAAATATTTTACATCCTGAAGGCCTCACATGATGCTAGGGTTATATTAAGCTTCTCAGACAACACATTTAACATTCATTGTTAATTCTCCTGAATTTCTGACTCCCCAGAGATAGAAAATGAGTCATCCTAATGTTTTATTTATGAACCGCAAGCATTACTGAGCTTTGTCATTCCATAAGCAGAAGGATATAGGAGCAGCATATGTTCTGGAGATGAAGGTACAGACACTGTATTAGGTATAAAAAAAATTGAATAAGTATTTTCTCTTTGATTTGAATTCTATCCAAAACAAAGTCCAGAAAATGTTCCTGCAAACTCATACAAACCATTTTATAAAAATTTGGAGTCTCAGACTATTGGTTGTTGCTGCTGTAGTTATTTTTAAAGGACTTGCCTCTAAATTATTAACAGAGCTTATCTGAGCAGGAAGGACACCAGAATCATTTTAAAAGTTAACTTTAGACGTGGATCAGCATGGTAACTGAGTAAAAACATTGGTTCACAGTATGTGATTAACACTTTAAACGTTAAACATCTTTTGTTTAAAACAAAGTTTTGTTACTGATGCCACTAAAACATGTTAAAGCTGTAATGATGCTGTTAATTGAACTTTATCACAGACTAAAGCAAAAATGATAAACTAAATTTGGTTGTTGTCTCGGTTTGCTCATATGCTGCTTGTCTGTTATTTACAAAGTAACTTATTTTACTCAAAACATTACAAAAATACATTTTAGAAGTAGCCAAGCTGTTTTCCATTGCTTTTGGTCAGATTAGATGATAAAAACCTGAATACAAATTTACTTTCAAATATGTTTTATCACTGATTAATGTCGTCTTCTCACTAAGATAAAATTCTTTTTGTAAAGATTTCTAAACTAGCCCTCTTATTGTAATGTTCTTTTATTGTAATTTATTGTGACTTTTAGTGACCAAACTAATTTTCAGGGTAAAAAAAAACATATAGATGCATAGAATATAAACTTACCAACCCTGTTTGTAGACTTTTAGGCCTGACTTTTTATTGGTTCTCCATTTTTATTTTAATTAGGTAAGAAATGTACAGTTTTTAGTTCCTCCACATTTTTTTCTTACATAATTGAAATACTTCTGCATACTTATGGTACCTCAGCCAGTCAACATTTACCATATTCTGTTTATTCAGGTCATTTTGACTGTTTCTTTTGGCATTGACATCTTCTGCAGTTTATGAAATATTCAGCTTTTTGTGATCAGCTTGGGCCCCATTGAAATTGAATGGAACATCCCATAATTTCTGAAGAATTCTGATAAAAATGTTGCACTCTTTCACTTACATGTACTTTCAGCTGGAAACTCCATTCAAACTTTAAAATGTAGCCATGTCATTCAACTACTTCTGTGTATTTTAGCTTTTTGTATCTTTTACAGATTTCAAACACTCCAAGTTTTTGCTTCCATTATGTTCAGTTTAAAAAAAAAAAAAAAAACTGGCCCACTGTCTCTGAGGGTTCGGAAACCAACCGTCTCCAACCCCAATTCCAACTCTCCATCAAACCCTAATTTTGAACCTAATTCAAACCATCCTTCCAACCCTATTTTCAAAATTCTTTCCAAACATAAAGTTCTTTCCAATCAGAGGCATTTTAAAGTGTCACAATCTATTAAATTCACTTTGTTCAGTTCAAAGTAAAAGAACAAAGCAAAGTATTTACTGCAAATAAATATTAAAGAGGTTCCCCAAGTTGTCAGACTTTTTGTTGTAGTTTTGGATTTTCTTTAGATTTTTGCAATAAAAATCTTAAGTTTTGAACAATTGCCTTTTTGTTGAATTGGTCATTTGCATGTAAGGCCTTTGTGCAGAGGTTAAAATTTAAACTAGAGCTGACACCCAGCTCAGAATAGTAAGCATGCTTAAAACAATGCAAACAGTTGTTATAAAGCCAGCAGCTACTGCAGGAAGTTGTTGCCACAAATTTGCTTCCTTAAATCATTGAAAACCTTTCCTTGTTTTTGTTTAGAAAAGCCTGTTATAATTATTACATGTTGAGTTTAGTATCTCGATTAAACCCTGATAAATCAAACGTACTTTTGATCTGTACCTTTTATACTTTAGCAGGCTTCTGTTTTTCCTATTTAAATTCTGAAGTGTTTGAAAGCTGTACACACAATGTTTTTATTTTTGTCGTTAACTCAGTAACGGGTTTTTTTTTTTGTGATCCTTACAAAGGTTATCAAGCACATTGAACCAAGACCCTTAGACGTTGAAAACGGAAAAATTGAGTTTCTCTTATAAATCAAATGTATGCTTTGATGCCGTTAGTGAGATTATATCTCAGAAACATGCCGAAACTCTATTACAAAATGCTCTGACTCACCTGCTGATTGGCCCTCTCCTCCACCACCGGCACCGTGTTGTGGCCCTTGTGCCTCTCCTTGACGCACAGCGAGCACACACACTGCTGGTCATTGAGGCAGTACAGGCGCAGCAGCTTTTCGTGCTGCTGGCACAGCTTCTCCTTCAGCCTATCTGTGGCTGGGATCAGCTTGTGGCCTTTTCTGTGAAAGCGCTCTTCGTGTCCTTTCAGGTGAGCCGGGCAGAAAGACTCCAGGCACTGGGGACAGGATTTCACGGCTCTGTTCTTCCTGCCCTTGCAGACGCTGCATTTCACCTCCTCGGGTTTCGCCAAGTGCTGAGCCGCAGGCTGGACTTCACTTTTCAGAAACTTTTCCACCACTTCGGCCAGAACGGTGTTCCTGCTCAGCAGGGGTTTGGGATTGAACTCCTGCCTGCACTGGGGGCAGCTGTAATGGTCTTTCTGCTTCGCTGTGTTCCAGTAATCCTCAATGCAGTCCAGACAGTAGCTGTGTCCACACGGGATGGTCACGGGATCTCGCAGAACCTCTAGGCACACGGGACAGCAAAACTGGTCTTGTTCTACGGAGATAGTTGCGGCTGCCATTGCACTCTCACACACACAAAACATTGAACTGAAAGAGGAAGGGACATTGATGGGCGTAGCTCACAGGTGAGCAGATACCAGCATCTCAGATTTCACCTGCTGCACCATGAAGCCTCCAATCACAGCCAGGCACACCTGGGAAAGGCCCTCCCAGGTGAGGAAAGCAGAGATCAGCCTCCTGTAGACCCACACCAGGCTGGGCCATAGTAGATGACCTTTAAAAGTAACATGAAGCTTGTTTTTTTTTTTTCCCCAGGGGAAAGCCCTGACTCATGTCTCTGTTTGATCAACAAAACGTGAACCAACCACCAGACAGTCTCTTCCAAACAGTCACAGGCCAGTTTCAAGATTTTAGTAAGTTTCAGAAATGCCCTTCTTAAAATTTCTTCCTTTTTTTGTCACACTAAAGTACAAAGACTCTTTATCTAATACTGGATAGAAATCGGTGGGTTTTTAAAGTTCAGCTAAAGGAACCTTTTTCATAGACACACCTTTACTTAAATGCACAACTTTAACATTCCCTGTATTACTTTGAATTTTAATCAGTTTGCTATTGTTTACAGTCTCTATTAACTGATTTATCATCACTCTGTGGTCCCTCTGTCCATCCAGAATTAAGGAAGACAACCTTCTCTTACTCTGCACCATCAGCCTGGAATCATCTCTAAACAGACTTTAACTTCCTGATCTGATTCTGCTTCTGTTCTTAACTACAACTTTGTAATTAGTTCTCATCTTACACATTTTGAGTCTGTTCCTTAATATACACTTGCACTGTTGTTTTGTCTGTAACTTTTAGGGTTGTATATAATGCTGATCTCTTTTGAAAACTAGGATTTATTTCCCGGTGAGATTTATCCCATATAAATAAAAGTAAAAAAAAAAAAAAAAAAACATCTTTCTTTTCCTTTTTGCTTTCAAGTGAAACTGTTTATAAAATCCTTCAGTGAATAAATATTCTTTAGTCTCAAAATAAGCTGATGATGTTTTTTTAATGTGTCACAAATGAGTTTACAAAAGAAAATAACTGTTCACAAAGCACTGCTTAAAAAAATACTTATAAAAGCATAAAACCACATCACTACACAGGGTGACCCTCTTAGCAATACTGAAATACAGTGAAGTAGGTTGCTCATGCTTTTAGCTGCTTCACACTAAGTTGAATGCATCATCTGTAAATAAATACTGAAATATATCTGATTAAAGTCAATAAACTAGTGTCCACAGATAAAATATTCAAAAAGGTCTCATTCTTGACTTATGAAACGATATTCAGGTTATGTGGGTGCGTGTATGATGTTCAGTCTGATGTCCGGCAGGATTTATCTTCTTCTTGAGTGAGGCCGTCTCTGCAGGTGTCTTTGTCTGGATCCAGTCGCGAGTTTGGAACCTGAGCGAAAAGAAAACACAACAAGAAATGGAACGTTGCACCAAGCTGAGGCAGCAGAAACAACAAAATCTGATCAGTTTACTGCAGGAGATAAAATGATGTGAGGAAATAAAACTTGTATTGTAAATACAATGCTGAATTACCTACGCGTTAAAGCATCTGAATGTTAGATTGTTTTGTATCAATAACTTTTTCCGTATCTACATTTCTACTACAAATTTCAGCGCATGTAACAGTGACTTGGAATAAATGCTACATTAATGTGATGGCTCTAGTTACCAAACGGTGAGAAGGCAAATGGTCCCGGGGTAAAGAACGGGTTGAGAGGACTGACAGCTGGTTGGTCCAGACCAGGAGGGGGCAGAACTGCGAGGACAGAGCAACAGAGTTACTATGGAGCCTCCCAAACTGAAACTGACAGAATCTCATGCAGATTCAGCGAACTGTGCGATAAACAAACATGCTGAGAGAGGAGTTTCGGCTGAAAGGAAAATGTTAGGAGGGAAACATCTTTTATTCAGCAGGACAACAAAAACACGGCAAATTACACAAACAGGTACACGGGTGTAACGTAACATACACACACACAACACACAACTCGTTTTCATGTGTTCACACATCTCATCCGTGTGTCACTGGTTAAGTGGGACAGAGAAACCGCACTGCACATAAGAAAAACGAAACGAGAGAGAAGGTTTTGCATTATTTATGATGAACTGATCTAAAATATTCTAGGTGTCTGTGGGGAGAAAATATCAAAATGAAATCTGTGGTCAATTAAACCACTGAAATCATAGGACTTAACAGCTATTAGTCAGAGTTTGCTTTTTGCCTTTCAATAAACAAGGTAGATTTTTCTCTACATAATCATAAACAGGAAAAAAGATTAATTTTGAAAACAACAAAAAATAAATAAACAGAGCTAATGTCAACGGTATAGAAATACACAACGTTTTCTATTGGGCTAGAATGAAAAATCTGCCCATCGTTACTTTGTAAGAAAAGTTTCTTTAATAGTTTGTATGTTAATAATATTTGTTTATTAACATTAACTAAAGCCATTGGCCTGAATGTACAAGCCAATAAATAAATTTGAATATTATTGGAAAGTTAATTTATATGATTAACTTAATTCACTAAGATTAATTACACTCAGGCTGATATTTTTAAGTTCTTACTTCTGTTATTTGCATTGATTTTCCACTTGCAGTTAATGAAAATATGACATATAAAGTTAGAGTATTACATCAGACAAATAAAAAAAAAAATTTAAAACAGAAATGTGGGCTTGAAGTCAAGTAGGTTGTCATTTTTAGAATCTCTTTAATTTGGCAGATGATATTCTAATTTATTGGTTATGCCTGCATTTATAAGCCTGTGAAAATAAAAAGTGTTTTTGTTGTCAAGCAGATGCTAAATTAAATAATTATTACACTGTATATAGCGCTTGGGTATTAGTTTTGCAAATCAGAAATAATTGATTAAAAAAATTATAGATAAAAATGGCAGTTATGAAATTATCAAGTATACAATATGAAATGCTGAAGGCCTATTGATTTTATAGAAATAGCACTTGTGATTAAAACAACAATTATCATCATGTGGGATTTTTCCCAAGTGACTTAAAATATATACCCATTTCAAATATGTGTACATCTTTAATATAATCAATGCAGAAGCCATGTCTAAATGGGTTAAATGACATCTTAACGAGCTCACTTATTGGTGACTCCATCTGTGCAGCTCCCCCAGCTGCCCCAGCCTCACCAGCGAGAGGAGAGTCACACTGAGACTCTGAGGACTCAGGATTCTGAGTCATCACGATTGTAACATCTTTCACTAAAAAAAAAAGAAAGAAAAAAAGAAAAGAGAAACATTAGATCAGTCAGTGGTTGGAACAAATGTCCCTTAAAAACCCCTCTTGAAGTGTGTCTACCTTTCTCATAGATGCTGACAAATCCTCCCTGGCACACTTCTTGCAGCAGTACCTTGAAGTCGGACACGGCTGTCATCACTGGGCTGAAGGAGAGGCTCGGGTTCGTGTTGAGCAAAGGAGAAGCTGACAGCGCAGGTGAGGCACGAACGGACTGACAACTCTGAGCACAGACACGGAGAGGAGACGGCGTTAGGCTGAGTGCTACTGAGTCACCGCCCGCAGAACTAGTCTGAAGGAATCACCTGCAGGAACTGGACGGGGTCGTCAGTGTGGGACAGGAGGTCAAGTTCGGCCTCGTTCTTCCTCAGCTCGGCGATTTCCTTCTGGATCTGGTCCAGCAGCTGCTCGGCTTCACCGATGGCCGTCTTTTCCTGTTCTTTGATGAGCTCTCTCACTTCAAAGCGCTTCAGCTCTATCTGGCGAATGAGCTCCGTAAAGATGGCGTCGCTCTCTTCGGCAGCGGCCCGCGCCGAACGCTAGAGGGAAACGCAGACCAACGCACAGCAGTCAGCGAGTGAGGCAAGATTTAAAATAAAAAAAAAAAAAAAAAACATCTGCTCTATGAGAATACATAGCTGCAGCAGCTGTTGTGTAAATAAAGAGCAAGTTAAGTATTGTACTGAGTAATGGGACGTTTTCTCATTAATCATTGAACAGGAAGAATCTTACGGCGAGAGAAAAAACAGCTTGTCTCAGATCTTGTGCCTCTTTCTCTCTTTGCTGAATCTTGAGCTGCGAGCTCTGCCTCATGTCACCAAGCTGCATCTGGAAGAAAGAATTAGGGGATATTTTAAAATCATAAGTCATGAAAAAAATCACCCATTTGCCTTTCTAAAGATCCACAGAATATCTGATGATCATCTCATGCAAAACCTATAAAAGAAAAATAAATAACACTATTGAATGCCATGTTTTGCCAGAAATCAACTGAACTGCTTCAGAAACATGACAACAAACCCACAAGAACTAAATCTGTCACCATCTTTATATCAAACCTTAAATTACAGTAAAAAGAAAAAAAAAGATATTTATAATAAGCAGAGTCATTTATTTTGTTTATCAGTTGAGATAACTCACAGCCATTTTGGATTTGTTTGTGTGCAGCGTCTGGTGAAATTATTATTAAATTTGTTCAAAGTAACAAAAGAGCAACAGGGTTTACATGTACATTTAATAATCCTAATTTACTAATTTACTAACTCCAACCCTACTCTGGTGTGTGTTTATAAAAAATAGGCTGTTAAAAGTAAGTCAGATCTGATTGTAAATCCACCCAAAGACCAGACTGGGCAAATCTTTCCTGCCAACTATTCTCTGAATCTCTCAGACTATGAGGATGTCTCCTCACACCCATGGTCAGATCACTGAATTTCAAATTTCAGTCTGAATTAGGGTCAGACCCTTCTGACCCTTCTTGAACTCCCTGAGGAGTTCAAGTCAAAAACAACTGGTATTTTCTAAATCCCATCAATCTTATCTCAGTTCCATCTTAAGAAAATGAACTCCAGTGCATCACACTGCCACAACCGGTTTTAGTGCAGGTATGTTGATCCTATCATGATGTTTACTGTACAGTAAACAGTTCTGGTGAGGTACTGTTTGCTGCTATATTAATGCTTGGTAACCGCTCTGCAAGTTATGGCTTTAAAAATGTGCAAATGTCTAGAAAATTCTAATAGATTTCCACTATCTGCACCCGGTTATGTAGGCAAGGTCACAGAGGGGATGGTGCCTCTCTCGAGCAATTTTTGAGTAAGAGGGTTAACCTAACCCTACCCTATAATTGATAAAAAGCACGTATTCAGAACCTCTAGCTGATTTCATTAAAGTGAAAAACAATGTGTGTTAAAGAACAGGCTACTGGATGCAAAACGAAAATAGTATTCGTTATAATGCAGCATTTTGAGGGGGAGGGGTGAAATGGCTTTTTACCTCCTTATCACTAATCAGAGCCAGTCGACTATAGAAACTGTCTGAATCCAGTCTCTGACCGAATGCGTCTCTACATAGAAATGATTAGGACTGAAAAATAAAACCAAGGCTCTTACAAAAAATTAAAAAAAAAAAAAACTGACCCACAGGTCGCCATAATCAAGGTGACTTGTGAGTCTAAGTATTTTCAGAGCAAATACTTAGACTCACATACGATAATTCCAGACCGAGGTAACGTGTTGCTACCTTAATGTGTTGTGTTTCTGCCTCTGCCAGCACCGTGTCGTGTCCTTTGTGCTCGTCCGTCAGACACAGGTAGCAAATGCAGCGACTGTCGGTGCGACAGTACACTTCCAGCAGCTTGTCATGCTGGGGACAGATCGTCTCCTGGAGCCGCTTGGAGGCCGACACCAGCTTGTGTTTCTTGAAGGCAGCGGACTCGTAGTGAGGCTGGAGGTGGACATCGCAGTAAGAGGCCAGGCACACCAGGCAGGACTTGACAGCCTTGCTTTTCCTCCCGGTGCAGACGTCACATTCCACGTCGTCAGCTTTGGCCAGACATCGGTTATCCCTCGGCACCGAGGCAGCCTGGAGCGTAGTTGTCTTGAATTTCTCCACCACATCGGTGAGCATGGTGTTCCTGGCAAGCACCGGCCTCGGGCTAAAGCTCTGTCGGCACTGCGGGCAGACGAAGACCCCGAGAAAGTCGTCTTGGTCCCAGTAGTTCTGGATGCAGTCCGAGCAGTAGCTGTGTCCGCAGGGGATGGTCACTGGGTTTTTCATCACGTCCAGGCATATGGAGCAGTTAAACTGGTCCTTGTCCAGAACCACTCCACCCTGAGCCATCTTTAAAAACACAACAGAGGAGCCAGAAAATAATGGAAAACACAAGAACACACTGGTTCTGGGCTGCTACCCCTGCGTTGTTTACAGGAAGTGAAGGGAATGAAGGCGTGGCCTAGCAACGACACCGGAAACTGGAGGACATTTAATTTAGAGACAAATACAGATTCTTCAAACTAAGAGCTGTCTGTGCTTCACACACAGACCAACAATAAATGCAAAAACACAAACTCCTTTTACAAACCTAATTATAAGTATTATTAAATTATTATTATTATTTTATTTGGTTAGTTCACTTTATTACACTTGCATTCATGTGGAAAAATTGCTTAAAGGGCAAAAAAATGGGTTTTCACCATCTATTTACATATTAACTTCTTAAGATTTTTATGTATGAACATCTAATGTTGAACATATAGTTAATGTAATTTGAAATACCTGAAATAAATTTTGTGGCCTTGGATAATTTTTGATTCATTTATTACTCAAATTTATTTAACACACATTGCTTCATGGTGATTATTCTGTTTTCTGTTTTGAATTTCAAATATTTTTATTAAGATAATCATTTACTAGTACCACAATTGGGACATTTTGCAATGCCACATCAGGAATTGGTACAAGAACCCCAAAATTTAAAATAGAACAGAATGTATACGTATATTTATTGCACAAAAGAGAATTACTGCATATAAAATCAATCATGTGTATTGGATGTGTATGTCAGTCTATGTGGGTAAATGGCACTGATCACATTGAATAAAGCTATTTGGCTTTGTCACTTTGAATAAAGCTAAATATATTTCATTTTAAATAAGAACTCTTGTATTGAAGTAAGCTCTCACAATATGGCATATAAAGCCTATGGATGTCTGGCATGTCTATAGTTTACTAAACATTTTCCTTTTTGTCCTCAATGAATCAGCCTGTTCTTTAAAGCAGGTTTCCATTAAATGTTTACATTTAGTCAATGTGTTACAAGTAGTAGATAAGTCCCTTTATGACAAGGATCTTTTTTCATTTGCTGATTAGGACAGTAGAAACAGTCATGCTACACAGCCTCAAAAGTGCAGTGCCTCCAGTGTTGAAACATCCATGGAAGTGGCGTGCTTTTGTTCAGCAGGGACAGTCAGTCAGAGTTTTGACCAGTATCATATCTTAAATGTAGGAACATTAAACCACATAAAATCTGTACTTCATTTGTAAGAAATTACCCAAAAACAAGGTTCAGTGCATTTTTATTTTAAAATGCATTAAGATAAACATAATAAATAATATCTGACAAATCATTTTCCATAAATCATAGAACAGTAAGTGGAAAATAAACGTACAATCCATATCCTCAAACTTCAAGGTATTAACCAGGATTTCCTAAACAGAGCATTGACAGCATAAATACATAAAAGATTAGGCATACATTTTTAAAAATCTAATATCTCTAACTAAGGACAATACGTTAATTTGGTCACAAAAAGAATACTCTGATGCATAAATGACAAGTTTGCACATTTCAACTTTTTCTCAATAAGAGCACAAAAACACTCATACTCTCTTGTGTGTGGCAGATTTTGAAAAGTTGCCAGCAACCTCCTGTTAGCTGTTGATTATTATACCTGCCAATCAAAAACATTCCCTTAAAAATCACATGCAGCTCTAATAAAGAAGTCATCTTTTTTTATAATGGCTCTTTTTTCTCAACCTGGTAAAGTAAAGTGCTGATAAATGTTTAGCTATATTTTTTTAAAAATGGAGTATTCCCTTACAGATTGTTAACGGGTAATAACCTCTTCAAAAAATACTGATAGTGGGATCAAACCTCATCAAAACATGCTCAATATACCCATTCAAATAGTCCCTTAAACATGTTTTTGGTTTTTCATTCTAAGTTATAACTCTGTTACTAAACTATAAGAAACAGGCTTGAAAAATATTCAGATTGTTTTGAAACATGCATTTATGCCGGTAGAATATTAATGTTTGCGCTACATGCTAATCTGAAATTCAGCGATGTTTTCAAATGAAAACGAAGACGCCTGAAAACAACCAACTCACAGTCAACTACTTGGTAAGTCACAAAGATAAAGCTTTGTTTTGGATTCACTGTTATAAAGTAAACGTTTCATTCAGTTCAAGTTTTTTTTTTTTTTTTTATTCTTAGCTGCAGTAAATAAAGTTTTTTCACATGAAACAAACCAAACAATTAAGAAACAGTGTGTGAGACTGGCCCCAAATCAGAATACGTAGAGTATTTGAAGATGACTAAAACACTCTAAAAGGTGCGGGTACGTTTGAGTGTGTGCAATGCTGAGATATGCGTCGCCACTCATGATACCAAAGTATCTTGTGTGCCTTCACTTGTTTTTGTCCTCCAGGCCGCTTTCTGCTCTCAGCGCCTGACTGCTGGCTGAAATGAAGCTGATCCAGTGTTTGAGCTCTTCTGGAAACTGTGGACACTCGATCTGTAAATAAACACAGCATTAAACACACTCTTAAAATTCACATGAAGGTTTGAGCCTTGAGTTCAAGTTGCACCAAATAACCAACTGACAGGAACTGTAAAAGTTTAAAAACACACAAAAAAGTAATTACACATTCAAAATTGCAAACACATTTTTATATTAAATTTTTTTGGATACGTATCTATGCACTCCATGTAATCTTGATTTATTAAGTTGTTTGTAAAAGTTCATTTCATATTTTTGCTTATGAAATACAATTATTTGAAAATGACCTTCAGTGGGTAGTTTTTAAATTATTATTCGATGAAGCTGTTGCAAATGCTGTTCTTCAACAAAGTGTGCTCAGAAATGTTCATATGATCCAAGCGTTTTCCCTAACAAACTGTGTTTATGTATTATCAATTACACTCAATGTGCAAAACTACTCACCTGCTTCTTGTAGGTAAATTCCATTATGCTTTCTGGGCTGCTGCCCACCACATTCTGCCTGCAAAGCATGACTGCAGATACAAAGCCATCTCTCTTAGACACGAAGCGCTGCTCTAGGTAAAAGGCCTTATCATCCCAGCCTAGCACTTTGGTACGAATCTGGAAAGCCTCTCTGAAGGCCAAAGAGCGCCTATACCGAATGGTGGAGGCCCCTACTACCATTTTGGCCCCAAGTTTACGTGAGGCCATGAACAACCCATTTCTCATGTAGTGGTGGAAGCGGGCAAAGTCACACTCCCTCAGATATCGAGAGTTGTTCATATGGCCCAGGTAGTCTAAATCATGAGGAAGGACCATGCCATTGATGCTTTGCTCAGCTAGTATGTCTTCTATTCTGGGCAGGAACCATGCTTCTACAAAAACCAGGGCCCCCCGCAGGAAGTACCACACATCCAGGTTGCAGAAGAGGAGGAGGAGGGCGCTCAGCACCAGCAGCATCATCTCTGGAACAAGAGTCCAAACACAGATTCAACAAATAAAAACTAATGCACCAAATTATAATTTACAAAGGTGTTTTAACAAGCAGTATGTATGGGATGGCTTAAAAATACTTTCAATAATATTCAGTTTTTGATTCCAAATGTAAGAATACATTTTAGTATTTTACTAAATAAATACTAACTATAATCAACTTGAATGAATGTACTCAATATAATATGAACTGAGCTTTCCAGAGCCGCTTACTATGTTTCCAGAATTAAAACAGAGAGACCTTATATTCCCACAGCCAAGCACTGCAACCTTGACACGAGTGGGAAGTTAGCGCAGCTGCCTTCAAATAAACCTGCTTTGGAAGTCAAATCTGTTAGCCTAGCTGTTAGCAGTAGGAGGCTGCCGGCCTATGGAGGCACAGGGGGCAAATTCTGACGCAAAAGTCGCCACTTTGCATTAAACTACGGCGCAATACCAGCGCCGTCCAAAAACGTATCAGAAGCATATATCTACAAGAGTAAAACTCACCGTGCGTCCCTCAGAAGGCGCTACCATAGGACAGGATGCAACTTCAAGAAGCCGGTAGGTTCAATGGACATGACTTCCTGATGTGTGACGACACGGACCTTCATTGGCTGACTGTTGACATGGTTACAGGTTTATTATGCAAATGCGGTTTTTCTTTTTGATTTTTTAACAGCTATCTCATGGAATGTAGTAATACTGTTATTAATTAAAAGTATTTAAAAGAAATTGTACAAAACGCTCATCCAAAATTCAAATATTGCAAAATTCTCCTATGAAAGAAAATATAAACTATTTTAAATAAAGTAGAACATTTTTATTTTTTATCCCGACCAACTGTTCAGACCAAAAAAACCCCACATTCTTTATAGTAAGACACATTAGGATAAGCAGATTTGATAACAGTAAAAAAACAACATTATAGTCAGATTACATGTTCAATTAATCTCGTAACAATAGACAAGACTGAATTAACAAAGGTGAAAAGCCTTATCTTGAGTTTCCTATCTTTTCCAGCGATTTATAGCAGTCATACAGATATGTTCCCTCTGTATGTGAATGTTTAACTTACATAAAACAAGAAGATAACAGAAAAAACACTTAGTCTACATGAATTTGTTAATTCATGGAGTAGTTGTTGTCATTGTCCTATTGACAGAAGAAAAACTATATAACCATTTACCTTGTAGACTTTAATAAGGCTGCTCAAACATCAGCTCAAGTGGAAAACAGTCTTGTAGTTAGCACCTTGTTTGAACATTGCAATTCAGCAGTTGAATGAGTAAAACTAGGTTGTTAAATGGATATTTCAGAGGCCACAAATGAAAAGCAAACTTCTGCTCATAAGGACGACACCAAGTCAAATTAGTGAGAGCTATAACGTTAAAGCTAGACGCACTAAACAAACAACCTGAAGCTAATGGGTTTTGAAGATTTTTCTACCTCTGTAGAAAAAAAAAATTAGCACTATATGTTAAAAGCTGCCCTCAGATGCTACAACAGAAACAATGTATTCAGATGTTAAAGCTCAAGAAGTCATTTTTACTTCTAATATTTTTATGCTTTAAAAGCACAATTTGCTCCAGTAAGAAACTCACACCTTAACCCATGGATAAGTTTTATTGCTGCTGCTATAAAACCTGCCATATGTTAGATATTTACAGTTAGAAAAGTTGTGATGTAACGCTGTACATCCGTACATTTTCAATGCAATGTACACCAATATTCCAGTGTTACATCTTTAAATACTGGGTTCAAAGAACAGGCACAACAGTGAAGCAGTGACATAGTTGTTCAGATTATTAATTTCTCTCTGAGATGATGGCGAGCCTCAGGCCGACATACTGTCCGTCCAACTATTTGTTCTTCTCCTCAAGGCCACTCTCAGCTCTCAGGGCCTGGCTGCTGGCAGAAATAAAGTTGACCCAATGCTGCAGGTCCTCTGGAAACTCAGGAGGCTCTACCTACAAGCAGCAAAACACACGATTATTGTCATTTGCTGCTAGTACGTGCCCAGATTCATCCCGTCAGCCTTCACTCCCTCTCTTACCTTCCTTTTACACAGGTGCTGTAAGATCTTGTCAGGGCTGCTTCGTATCACACTCTGCTTGCAGTACATGACGGCACACACCAGTCTGTCTTTAGTGGACACAAACCTTTGCTCCAGGAAAAAAGCTTTGTCATCCCAAGTGACGATCCGACTGCACAGATCGTATCCCTCTCCTATACACAGAGCCCTGCGGTAGCGGATGGTTGTGGCCCCCACAACCAGGTTGGCTCCGAGGGCCCGCGTTGCTTTGAACACACCGTTACGCATGTAGAGAGAGAAGCGAGCGAAGTCGCACTCCCGGAGGTACCGGGCATTGTTCATGTGGCACATGTCGATGTCGCGTGGAGTGACGCGTCCCGTCATGACCTGCTCTCCCGTGACGTCCCACACTGGAGGTTGAAACCAGGCCCGCAAAAGAACGGCGCCCGCTCGCAGGAAGTACCACACATCCAGAGTGCAGAAGAGAAACACTAAAGCAGCGAGGACCCACGCCACCCACCACATCTCTGTAAGGACAGGACAGATGGAGATAAATGATGACGATATGATGCTGTTCTCTTATATTTGGTTTGATTTTAATGTTAAATATTTAACTATATAATTTTTTTTTCCATCATAAGCTTTGAATTCAGGCCCTTACAGATAAACCATCTTGGGTTGTGGGGTTGCCGTTAAATACATCTTGGATTAATTAGTACAGTTTGCTTTACAGTGACAGTGTTGGTATGTGTACGCATGTTTGTCACTGTGGATTCTTAGTTTTTTTCTCTTTCTGCAGGGATATAAACAGACTTCTAGGGCATTTTCTTGTACTGTCTGTATCTTCTTCCTCTCTTCTTACCTCTCTCTTTCCTTTTTATTTTTTTCTGTTCTTTTCTTTATTCTCCTTCCTCTTTTCTGTCTCCATGTCTATTGCATTTTAAATGAACCTAAAGCATTATAGCAAAAGTTGCAAACAAATCTGACGGGCTTCTTTTTAGCATTCAGAGTGCTAAATTGCTGGACAGAACACAAGAATACAAATGCTAAAAAGATTAGAGCGTAATTCTGTACTCAGGGGTAATTCAGTCATTTAACTCAGGTGTATCGAAACAGGGATGAATCTAATCTACTGTTTTATAGCGTTTTGCCATTGGCCCAAAAAGTTCAATTTCTCCTACAGCTACAAATCACAGAAAATCATTTTTAAAACATGCTTTTATTTTAATCTTCCACTCTAGGAGTTGACCTGAATTCAAAGTCCAAATAAATCCAAGTTGTAAAGCATGGTTGTAAAACAAGATGGCAGACCATGAGTGGACTGCCATCAGTCTGAACACTGGAAGCCCAAAGAGCACATTAACGAAAAAACATCATAGCTGATATTTCCAAAAATTTACAAAAACAGTTAATTCAGTGAATCAATACAATAGATGTGCCTCCCATACCTATAGCTGTTTAATGCATCAGAAAATGATTTAAGAGTCTTTAAATATGGTAAATATAATTAGAAATGTAATGCATTTAAACTTTAGATGCCAAAACAAATGGTTCAATGGTGGGACTTTAGTCCTAATAAAAGTTGGTGGTTGGGACAGTTGACAAAGCTTACTGTCATTTGAAATATTTAAAAGATGTATCTCTTTAGTACCACTTGTCTCTATTTAATTCTAACTCTCCATCCTTCCTCTCCATTTGATAATGTTCGCATTGCACAGAAACCCCAACACTCTGCAATCTCCTGGTTCAGAAAACATTTTAATCACAAACTCAGTTTAACTGCATGGACTAATTTGGATTGTATTGGAATCTGTGCGTATGGTTGGATTTAACTGACTTCTTTATTGCAGAGTTACTTCAGGAAACGTGTTGTGATTAAATGCTACATAAATAAACTGAAATAAATCAGATTCTTTGCAATGAAGTAGTTTACATATTCCATATTGTACGTTGAATTCTGCAGGTTCAGTGGTCAGATGGAGACATTTTGACTCAAGGGTTCACAATCTGACAATCAGTGCTTTAGTGGAAACGCCTTTTGTATACTACACCTAAAATTGTACGTGAAATTTTAGTTTCACGTAAAATTAATGGAACTATTTACCTGTTTGTAATATACAGATGTAGAGAAAGTGTAACTTTAAAAAAATGGCCAACAAAAAACATTGTTCAGCTCATTACCAAATCTGTGTGAAACTCACTCAGTAGCCAGCAAATAAAACCATATTCATCTGTTTCTTGGTCTTGTTGAAATTCCTGGATTTTCCAAGTCTCAGCAAATCCTGACAAAATGTTGCACTAAAGTCTAAACTTTTCACAAAATAGGAGCCCGCAAACAGGTTCTGCAAGAAAGGCAGGCTGTCCCTGCGTGAGGAGTTTGTCTTGACAAGCAGCTTCAGTGAATCAAGAGATTTCCACTGATAAAATATTTTCTAAAACTCTAAAAAAGCAGTTTATGAATCAGAGACATGGCCCAGAAATATCGAACAGATTTCAAATTTTGAATCTTAGTTTAAGCGGTCCTGCTTCAGAACGAAAAAAAAAAATCTAGCTATTGTGGTTTAAAGACATTAACTAATACGGCAAGAAAGTAGATGTAAATTATTGAACATAATGTAAAACTATGCAGCATTCAAGCATGTGGGAAAAGTTCAAGCTCACCTGTCGTGTTCGTGTCTTGTGTCAGCTAAAAACTGCAGTCTGCACGGTTCAACTTAACGCTAAAGACTTCCGGCAATAGATTTCATAATAAAAGTAACAATGTTGTGCTTCTTAAAAAAACCTAGAATGAATGGAGGAAAAAATTAAATCAGGCCTTGTAAACAAAACATTGAATGACTGTGTGGAGTTAAGTGAAGGACAGGTATATATCGCTGTAACATACTTTTAACATTTACTTTGACAGAGATTTTTTTTTGACAAAAAGAGATGGACTAACTTCCGGAAGCTAAAGTGACGTGATGCAGACTGATCGAGAGGATTGGCTCTTCAATCAAACCAATGATACTTTTAATAGTTACAAGATCTTATGTTAATTTCAGTTTTCAAAATTTTATTAAAGTGTATAATAAAGATAGATTCGATGCTTATTTAACGTTGTGATGCCATGAGGCCAAATTGATAGTCAAGATAATTGACTGATGTATGAATAACTCCAATAAGCTATGTAAAACAGTCACAACAGTTAGAAAAATGGCCCTCTCTCTTTATCAAATAAGGCCACACACACACTTTAATTTCATATAAACTGTCAAGACAAAGTTTAATTTCATGCAAGCTCTCAAGACAAGAGTCAGTTATAAAGTACCAAAAATTCAACCACTTGCTTATTTAGAAACCAGACAAAACATGCTGTTTCAACTTCCGTTTCCTCAAAAGGCCTTTAAAAACGCTGTAAATAAAGGACAATATGCAAAAAGGAAAATGCTGATTAATAAAAAAAAAAAAAAATTCCAAGCCTTAGTTTTTTTAAAACAATGTACAAAATGCAAGAATGTGAAAGACAAGCAAAAATACTTAATTTGTCTTTAACAAGATGTCAAATAGAATTTCAAATGCTATACAAAAGAAATCACATGCTAACTTGATTAGTAACAAATTAATACCATACAGATAACTAAGTTAAACATGTATCATAATAGCAAAGCATGTTAACTATACATAAAAAAACAAGCCATTTTCTAACCATCATCATCATAAAGGTCACTGTGGAAATTTGAAAAAAAAAAAAAAAAAAAAAAACAATGTTCCCAAGAAGATTCACTGAATTTGTTGAGATCTGTAATCCATCACCATTTTCTTCATGTTCCAGTCTGACATCAAGTCATTCATTTCAAGCTCATTTCCTGGTCCAGCCAGTGGATCATGATCGTGTCTGAAAGAGAGGGACAGCGTCACGATTAGAGCATCCCGGTTAGTTATAACTCAGCAGCTTCAAATTTCAGTTAAAAACGGATGCAGAAGCTTACTGTTTGAGATGCTTCTCGATGGCTTTGCGTTCATACACAGTGCCATAAACTGTTTTCACAGGATCAACAAACATCTTCTTGGTCAGAGGACAGAGCAGGTGTTGGGGTACAAACTGTGGCACAGAATCCACCAGTTTCTTCAGGAAAAAAAAAAAGACACATAAATATGTTAAATTTATCCATGGACTATTACACCACCAAGACTGTAAATACACCCATTGATCCACCTTTTCCATATCATCCAAAGACTTCCCTGCATGCTCCTCCGTGTGCCTCTTGGCTTCTTGTTCGTACATTTCACGGCTCGTCAAGAATTCCTCAGCCAAAATGCTTAAAAAAATAAATAATAATGGATCAATGAAGTTTCATATTTATAGGCCTTTTGGAGAAGCAGAAGTTGAAGCATGTGGATTTTATATTCAGATAGATGACCATCTGAAACACTAAAATATTCCTCACCTATCCAGGGGATCATCTGGCTCAGGAATGATGAGCAGCCCATACACAGCATCAAAAATCTCTTTCATTGTGATGTGTGCACTGTAGTTTCGGTCGAATATGTTGTGACAGATCCGGCCCACACTGTTAACATTGCAGTGGTACACCTGTCATGATGTTAAGAATTTTAACTACATAACATGAAGTTACATATAGTTGGCAAGACTTATTTAATGCTTCCACAAAGTGTCAGGATACGTTTGTGACAAAACGAAGGACTGGAGGTGTCACTGGGTAGTCGGGTCCAAACTGACAGTACAGCTCAAACACGCCCGACTGGTATGGTGTGTCAGGAGGGCCCTGCATGAGAATCCTCCAGAATGCTGAAAAGATGAGAAACTTAGCACAGATGTAATAAAAAAAAAAAAAAATTTTAAACAGAGAAATTATTTATTATTCATCATAATCTGTCATGTGGTTCATAGATTTACTATCTAGTTTTTTACAAATCACCGTTTCATTTATGGCACAATTATTAGTCACTTTTAAAAAGTTAACCTGTAAAAATTTTAACAAGGAAGAAAAAAATAAAATAAACTTACAGAAATCAGACTCTGATGGAAAGACTCTAAAGAAGGGATGTGGGTCACAGTGCAGACTTCTGAGTTCCTCCAGGATCCGTTTTTCCTTTTCCATGAATCGTCCATCCTTTGACTCACGAATCTTCTTTTTGAGGGTACTGATTAAGAAAAAAGGAGCTTGAATTGTCCATTTATTCACCAAAGCTAGAAAAGTGATGATGTCTCCTACCTTTCAGTCAGGGTCACTCTGCCATTTATCTGACTTGGCAGGAATGTCTCTGGATATTCATCATACCCATGGACAGCAAAGAAGCCCATTAATCCAGACTAGATGGAATGAAAATAAATTCATCATAAAGCCACAGTGATTCATTCATCTTAACTAAACACAGACAAACAGTCATGACAGACCTCAGAGATGGAAGATGCATCAAGTTTTTTCTTGGGTTTCCTTTGCTCCAAGGACAGAACTGTCTCAATTTCAAAGAGTTTGAGGCCATCTTTGGTTGTCTGTGGCTTGAAACAACAACCACCTGGAACAGAAAGAAATTAGAGGAAGTAAAGAAAAGCTTCAAAACATGTTTACCTACTGTGAAAAAAAACTGGCAAATAGATTCAATAAAAATAAACCTGTTGCATTGCTGATCCCATGCACCATGTTGTTCTCCACATTTCCCAGGAGGATCGAATCAACAATGATGTCAGATTTGAGCAGTTTCACTGTCACAGCTACAGGCTCTGTCTGGGATCTTAAAAAAAAAAAAAAAAAAAGGTATAATTTGTTGCATCTCAACAGACAAGTGGAGGACAAACCATTTCTTAGGCCATACAGTTAAACTCAAATTTAAGCTCGACTCTCAGGAGGAGGACGGCAAATGTCACGGTCGGACAGCAGTGACAACAGAAAAAAAGAAAATCTTGTAAAAGTGCACATCAGCGTGACCCCACACTGAGTAAAGAGCTTGTGGAATCCAAACAACCTCATTTCTTAAGACTGCAGAAGGGTTAAGGATGTGCGTACACCATGCGCAAACTGATTATATGCAGTGAAAGACCATGTTAAATTCTTCAAGCTTAATATACGATTTTCCTAATCAACAGAAGAAGTGATTAAAATGTGAAGTGAAGCAGAAGGAGATTTTACCCAGAGTCATTTCCATCGGTGAGGCATATGATGCGAAGTCTACAATCTGGGAATCTCTCCTTGACTTTTTCAAGCTCCCGAGCTCCTCGCCGTAGCGCATCGTACAGGAGAGTACAGCCACTTGCCTTCAAGTCACGCAAATGTTCCTACAAATGTGGAAGAGCATGATAAAAACCAAGTCCTGTTATGTAGCAGCTATTGCAGGGATTAAACACTGACTTAAGTCAAAGCCTACACAATGTAGTGTGCATGTGTTCTTATGAAAACAAAAATGCATGAATGCAAGAGTAATATGCACGTGGCTGTCTCTGCAGCCCCAGGTTATCAGACAGCTCTTGTCTGGGAACTGCCTTAAAGGTGTAAACATACATTTCACCTCTGAAATCATCCCTGCATTCATTTGAGAAACTGAAATAAATTGTCTTTCACCAACTATGGCTTTTAAAATGTAAAATTATAACACGTTCAAAAATCATCTTTACTTCAACAAAGTGTGTACCTTGAACTTTTCCAGATTTTCAGTAAATGTATGGAGGGTCTTCACAAAGGAATCAAACTTCACAAGCCCAATGACATGATGGAAATCATAGGCCATGCTCCTGGTGGCGAAGTTGTCAAAAAGCTCTTTCACAGCATTGATTTTCTTTATTTCTGCATTTTCATAGCACTCTTCTTCCATGGAGGAACTGGTATCCATCAGTACCTGATGAAAACAAGTCAACACTAATTAATTTATGTCTGGAAAACTAATGCTACTTTATTCTGAGTTATCTTAGGATTAGAAAAAAATAAAAGTATTTTCACATATTACCAGTATTGCTTCTTTTGGAGTCCTGGTAGTGACAAATGTTTGATCATCTCTGTGGTCACCAGTCCTACATCACATAAAAACAAAACTTTGATTTTATTTTGTACCGTTCTTATGGCATACACATTTATTGTATAAACTCATGTACGTACTTGGCAGCCAAAATATTCAGATCCACTAATTTTACTTTTCCGTCCAGGCAATCATGCACTTTGATCATATCAGGGGATCCTTTGTCCTTGTAGAGATAAACCCCGAGGTTGTCTGGTTAAAAAGAAGAAAAGAACAAATAACCTCATAAAAAAAATAGTTCTTTAAAAGATAAAAAAAAAACTCAGCACACCAGAGATAAAGGCAAATAAAGAGTGGATATTTTGTCCCTTTTAATATCATGGATGTTGGACTGAAACAACTGCATGTTCATATTATGATCAACCTTCGCTCAGCATAACGAGGGAACACCGAGTTGATCCCAGATCCTTCAGCTGCAGAGGTGGAGTCACATTGAGGCAAGTGAAAGCTTTTAGTCCTTCCACCATACTTCCAAAGGTCCACTCAACATTAACCTGAAAGCTAAAACAAAACAAACAAAAAACATAAAGCTGCAGAGCTTGGTAAACTAGTATAATTCAAAGCTTTTGTTTGTTGTAAACCTTTCTAATCACTAAATAACTTTTTTGTAATAAAAACCTTTTGAGGGATCTATTCAATGTGGGTCTTTTTATGGTGGTTGGCTAGCAATGTAAAATTTCACCAACAGGTGGCACTGTATTATTTCATGTTTTACCTGTAAGACAAATCTTGACCCCTTTGTATTTTGCACTAAGTGACCAAAATATTTAATAAATGTGCTTAAAAATTCCTATTTTGGCGTCTTCCAAGGTTTTCAAAAGTGGTGGATTTTCTATACTTGTTTAATATATTAGGATATTTTGGACTTATGTTTACATGACATTTTGATATTTTGAAGATCTATTAAATATGTTTAAAATGTTGAAGTCTTTGAAAAAGAAGATGCAAGTCAAGTATCAGGCACACTATGAAAGCAACCCTATTGTAAAAAAAATCTAACACACACACACTTCAGTCCAAGATTAACAATTGTTTTTAAAGAACACAAGCATTATTCAATTCTAGTAAGAGAAATATTAGTTTGAGGATACGTACTTGTGACCAGACACCTTGTCATGATGAATCCAGAGAGGATATGAACGGACAGAGCGAGGGATGCTGAGAAGTATCTTCTCCACATCAGCAGCTCTCTGGAGGGAACATTCTCCCAACGGCTCTTCGGTGCAATTTGGGATTTTAATGCCATCTAATTTAAAGGGCACAATTCGAAATTTGTACAATATTAAACTAAACCAAGAACAACACACATAGAAGAGATGGCACTGGTTATGGGTTCAACTTAGTAGGCTTTAACACCACCATAATATAAAACTCTGGAAGCTAGTTAAAAATTGAACGAACAGCCTAACAAGTTTCAAAATAAAACTGCAGAAAGTGAGAAATCGTGAATGTATGTTGTCCACGAGTAATCAAATTTAAGCGTAAGCTTAAAAAATACCCTTGATTTTGTCAAGAACATCAGCTCTTTCAAAGACAGTTGGCACTCCGGGAACTCTGACTGGCTCACAGAAATGGTTACCGTCTTCGGACACAAGATTGATCGGAGCAAAGTCTTCATGCTCAGTCGTCTGGTCCTGTTGACGTGGAAGAAAGTTTTAATAAATGACACTGGCTAAAATTCATATAAAACTTTACAGAAAATAAAGATACGCGGTCATGGACGGTGGCAATTAAAAATATAAATAAAAGAATTTCATTACTTTTGCTTTGTTGATGAGGTGTGCCCAGCAGTATAAGGAGTTCTCAAAAACATCCTGGTCCTCGATGGTTTTTTCCCCTCGCTGTGATCCTTGCTTGGGTAAAAGCTGTCTGAAGAGCATGTACAAGCCCTCAACAACGGCAATCTGCAGGAAATCAGTTAGCACATCATCATAGCTACTGTTACAACATACAAAAGACAGTGAAATAGTTAAGATGAAAAAAATATAATATAACCTCTATGGCTAAGGGCTATCACTTTGCCATTTGGCAACTGCAGATACCCCTTATTACCAGGGTGGGTCAGAGGGAGTAACATTTGCTAATCAAGAGGCGTGATAAACACTTGGAGATCAGGAATTGAAAGGATGACCTAAAAGGGGCATCATATAGGCTCCAAATGCCCAGGAGAAATCGCTCAGTTTTGGCTCATTGTGTAGCTCATGAATCCAACAATTTGAATGCTAAGCACTATTGCAGAAAAATAAGACCAAAATGGATTCCTAAATTCAATATACACAATGACTAAACAGTCAAATTAATAGTTCAGAATGAATACCTTCAATATTTACAAAGACGGACTTACCTTCTGGTTTCTGGTCACTCTCTCATTTCTGCACAGCTGATGCAAGCTCTGGACGAGGGCGTTACATCCAGTCAGTTTTCTTACGTAGGCAAGCAACATTTTGCGGGGTACGTCTGTATGCTCTGCCTGAAATCCCGTAAAAATAGATATTTTAGAAAAACTCTTAGGACAATTGAGAACCACAATTACTTTCAGAAACTATTAAAAAAAAGAAAAGAAGAAAGAACGAAAAGGTTTTAAGTGAACAGGACAAAAAAAGAAGCTTATTTGACCGTTAAGTCTGCTGGCGAATAAAAAAACAATAGAAAGACAGTACTTACAATAGCATAAAGAGATGAGAAAAATACACTGATTCCTTTCAGGGTTTGTGACACTGAAGGCACAACATTGTTGAAGTAGAACATGTCATCACATGGAGTTTCTTCAGAAAAAGATGACAAACTGAAGGAAACTGTTGAGCCTTCCAAAATTCCACACTTCTTCAGTGTGTCGCTGATGGAGTATTTCCCTCTGAGGAAAAAAATTACAACAACAAAAAAGAAGTGACAGCGCTGAGGACTATCTGTGAAAATAAGAGTTCAGTACAGTAGGAACACACATCATTGTGTAGATTTACTTCTGATGAAGGACATGTCCTGGGATGCCACTTGTTTTTGATAATTTTTGTCTCAGGGTTGCCATTGTGTCACTTTCCAAGTCCACACAAACTTCAAAGTATCCCTTGAAAACAGAAAACCAACCAGCATTTAAAAAAAATAATAAATGCTCTCCATATTTTCATTCCAAAAACTAATATTGCCATATCTACAAGATATTCTAAATTAAATAAATAGTTCTTTACCAGTGTGCTTCCAGAAGGAAGATTTAAAATTTCGGTATTAAAAAAAATATATATATATATTTTTTACACATTACACATACAAAATGTGTAATATAAATATTACACATTTTGTGGGATGCCTACAGCTCATTGAGGGTGTGAGAAAATTTGATACTCAGCAGATAAAACAGGAAGGCTGAACAGAGCTACTCGATTTAATCCCTTGAGATTTCAATCCATGCTGGACTTGCAAATGTTGGTAGACTTTTAGAAATCCTAGCTAAAGCAAAGATCCACATTCTCTAGGAATGCACAGACTGACTATTTTGGTAGTGCTAGTCACATTCAGCTGAAATATAAGATGGTAAAGACTAATAAGAGTTCCTTTGGGGAAATCATAAACAAAAGCTTTACCGACAAACACTTAAGACTGAAAATTGGCCGCAATATTCTGACTCCCGCATCTCTAACAGTAAGCACCAAGGATCAGCTCTACCTTGAGCATGACGTGGCATCGAATGACTTCTGTCCCAGTCGCTTCATAGGGCTTTTGCTTTGCCATTTTAGGAGCCTGCCTTAGGTTTTCCTTTGAAGTGAAAATGGCATAGACTGTGTCACCAGTTTGGATATGTCTCTCTTTCAAAGACCCTGGAAAATAAACAATTCATAGTTAAACTGTTGAACATGGTTCTGTATCAAACAAGTGTTGAACATTTTTAATTCAAACATAAAATAGGAAAATGGACAGTAACCTGTGATACTGTACATAGTATTCATAGATGCATACAACTAAGCCTCTGCAAAAAGTATATCTTTGTCCATCTTAGCCCAAATCTCTGTAGTCAAATATCATTTTTAAAATAGCCATCTTAAAAATAAGCAAGTATGTTAGCAAGTGCTGCCTTAATTCACAAATGCTGTAGACGGGGAAAGAATGAAACAAAGAGAAGGGAAATAAACCAAGCTCTACTACTACTAGTTCAAAGTTCAGTGCCATCTGTGTCCCAAATCTGTTTCTTCTTCTCAATCTTTAGCAACAACGTTGGCTTGTTTTATGTTCTAGTAAACAGGTAAAATGCCTTCTAATACCAAAACCATCTTTATACAAAAAGAGTTTATATCAACTCACAAGTATTGAAGAAGGGATCATCTGTCAGGGGCATCCCATCGATGGTATATAAGCAGACCCCTTGGGTGTTGGCAACTTTTTCAAGGTAAGAGATCCGCAACATCAGATCTTCGACAGTGTTTTGTCCAGGGTCCATATCTGTAACATTCACATTTGTGGTCTAAGTTTCACATAGGGGCTAGTATTTGCTGTGTTCATAACTAATTGTACTAGTTTAATATTCGTTTTTAAGTTTAGAGAATTCAAAGTAATGATAAAGTTGTCCTATTTCCCCCCTACCTTTAATCTGTTTCCGTTCGGGGCATTTGGGATATGTGTACCACAGACTAAATGAGTTTGAAGTCTTCGGTGGTGTCACAGTTTGGACCCGTCGCTGGGGAGCACTTAGTTTTTGGATAAAGGTTCTCATGTTGTTAAAACGATTCTTTTCCACATGACTTAAACCTGAGAAAGAAATTGAACAAATTAACATGCAAATAATGGCAAACCTTTTTACCTTCTTTACATTTATCATGTTAAAAATAATGCTCCAATGTCATTGACCTTATGTGATATACAACCACAAAGTAGTGACAACGTGCAAAATGTACAGTTTAATTTTTAAAAATTGTGTTTTTAAAACAATTCCTCTAAATAAAATGGAGTCCAGAAAACAGCCCTCAGAGGTCTCCGATGAGTAAATAGAGTCTACCCGTTTGAGATTTAATCCCAGTGGTAACTGCTCTGTAAGGACTAAGATGTTTGTTAAGGAACACAAATCAACAAGCTGCATCATGAAGACCAGCGAACACAACTGATGCATCAGGGAGAATTTCTTTATAGGAGTTTTAAAGTTATAACTCACATCAATCCATAATCTAAAAATGAGGTAAAATGTTTAGATTGTCTACCAACACACAGCTTAACTGAGAAGCTGAGCAGGGACAGCATTAATCACAAGGCAATCTGCAGCTCAGACAGGACAACTTGTTAAAAAATATTCAAAATCCAATTCAAAAATACTTTCTTGATCCCAAAGTTAAATTAAACGTGGAGAGGCAAGAAGAAAGTCATCCTGTGTTACTATATTTTGCCTTGGTCAAAGACATAGAATGAAGGTAAAACAGATTCAAGTTTGTGTTTTTAACAGGACAAAATTTAATATGATTAAGAGGTGTGAATATTTTTATAAAGCACTATAAAGACCAATATCACAATGGCTGAACTTAAAATTTCTACAATTTGCATATGAACTGAACCTGCGTTTGTTGTGAAATTACCTTTGGTGTGAATTAGCACTGCAGAAATAAACTCGATTGAATGCCATGAGCAATGTACAATCTTCAACTCCGCATAAAATATATACTTGCTTTGCAAACCCAGAAACATTTGCTTTGCAAATGATTCATATTTATGCCGTATTCAGAACACTCACCAAGGCTGTACAAATCCTCATCAGTCACTCCATCAAGGAAGTCTTGTTCATCTTTCACACCCATTTGCAGAAACTGGTTGTAGTAGGACTGCAGTCTGTACTGCTGAAGCAAATTAAATATTGCATCCATCCTTAAGAAATAAGCAAAAGATATTAAGTTATTATTGTATAAAAACATAGAGCATTGATTCTAGAATAAAATTCTCAAAAATCTCGAATTCCCAGTCTTGTCAAACTTGCACAGTTTGTGCAGAGTTAAGACATCAGTCGGGTAACCAGCAGTCAATCTGATTATATATATATTGCCAATATAACTTTAAAAATATTAGATATTTTCCTATGAAATGATGCAACTAATAATTTTGCTTCATATAAAGTTTCCAAAAACAGTGAAGTAAAACATTTACATCAAACCCTGAAACAACAAGGCAGGTTAGCTTTCAATTTGCTGGTATGGTAGAAGGCTAACAAGAACCGGCCTAGTTTACATTAAATATAACAAACGCTTTTTTTAATTTCTGAAACGAATTAAACACGTTCAATATCTTCTGTAAGATCGAGTGTATATATAGTTTTTCAAATAGTTCAAATGTCGACATGGCAAATTCCTCCACGTGTTAGCATTGCTTCCAGCTACGTATCCACATTGTAACTCGGTGTAAGACCTACACAAATAAGTATAAACTTCTAAATACGTCTCATTTTCTAAAATTAAAACGCCCTGGAGAAAAAAAATAATAATGAAAACAGCAAACTATCTGCTTACCTTTCGCCTCTTACTCTGGCGTTGCAAATCTGCCAACGACAGAGTAAGAAAAGTGCCTATTGGCTGTTCAATAAGACGCTTAATTTGAATAATTGGTCATTTACAGGACAGAGGGCTGCCAATGTGTGAATAATAATAATAATAATAATAATAATAATAATAATAATAATAATAATAATAATAATAATAATAATAATGCAAAAAATCCCTGAAACTACGAATTAACTATTTTCTATTGTAGTTTATTTTACTTTCTAAATTTACAACTTCATTCTTTATTCTGGTAACTTTGGGTGCATCCTTTACCCTCTGCCTGGGAGGAACTGATCGCCAGGGGGTGAAAGAGGATTAAAGTGGAGCGAGATCAGAAACAGAACGGCCCGAGATCATTGGATAATCAATTTCAAGTATGAAAACACTGGGGATACGCACATTAAATAGCGATAAAGTAAATTATATTTTTAAAGAAATTTGAAAGAAATTTCTTTCAAAACACTTTTTTACCGGCAAGAGTAAAAAAGTGTTTGGTGAATACTTGGCAGACACGGAAGTACTTTAACCGCAGATGTTCGTGATTTTATGAAGAGTGCGAGTCTCATCCTGATATAATGTGACACTGTAAATTCTTTATCTTATGCTTGAAAGCTAGGGATCAGACTAAGTAACAGTATATCAACAAAGCACTGGCTCATTTAATTTTAAGGAATGTCGGGGTAGCTGCAAGCGTTAGCTCCTTTAAATTGCTTTTGTTTTTGTTGAGTACTCTATTTACGTCTTAAGGGGGGAAAAACATAAGCTTATTTAGGCAAATATTATATAGGAATATTATTCACTCACCGTTTTAAATGCTAAAAAGGAGAATCAAACAGAGAATCATACCTTGTGTATGTGTCCACAACAACAGCTGTTTTCACTTAGTGTCAACTGACGAAGAAAACGAAACCTAAAAAGAGACACCACTACATGGAATAAACTCCAAAATGGAGTTCACGCAAAGTGGATAAAAATAAATTCGTAATAAGCTTGTCGATGTTGATCTTCGTTTTTCTACTTTTTCGTACTTGTATTTTGTTTTGAAAAGCACACAAAGTGAAACTCACCCCCCACCCCCACAACATTTTTTTTTTTTTTTTCCCCTTTGCGGATTTTTAAATTTTTTTGCAAGGCCTCTTCGGTCAAACGGTTGCCGCAGTCCGGTTCAGGTGTAAAAGCAAAGCGTCCCGTCTCTGCATCACTCCCCACCTGTTCATTGTGATATTTATAGAGAGACAAATCACAAATATTGAGAAGTTAAAAAGAGTGAGACAGGCATATTTTTCTGTCGTTATCCAAAAAATGACAGATGACGACAGAAATCCTTATCTGCTACTCTGCAAAGGCTTACAGAGCTTTCGTCACATGTTCTTCTACAAACCTGAAAAAACCAGTCCGATATGGTTGAATGTTAGAGGATGACACAACTGAGAATTCATCCATGCATTCATTATCCACTTATTCTTGCAGTGTCACAGGATTGCTGCTGGTGCCCATCTCCAATGGTCATGAGGAGAGAGGCAGAGTACGCCTCGATGTGGTTACCAGTCCATCTCTAGCCTGGTTATTGCTCTTCTGTGCAATTCTACTTGGGGAAAAAAAAGAAAAAAAATTTATATATAAATTTTTAAAATTAAAATATATATATATCTCACTTCGAGCTTTCTGTCTTTGACTTGGATTGTCTCGAGTAGATCTTTTACTGGGCCAATCAGTGAAGAGAAAGACAGGTTGTGAATGATGACATCAATTTTCTGTGCTGTTTTAGGATTGTAGTCTATGACAGCAGAGGAAGTGAACAAAGTTATTCGGTCTTTGTTGGCCATGCTTCCTTCCAAATACTCAATTATCATTAAAAGTGTGTTTATCAGCCCTTCTGTCTTTGCAGTGGAGGATGTTTGTTTACAGAGCAGCCAATTTCCGGGAAGATTCATAGCGTTTAACTGTCACATTACATATGTCATGAGAAAACTTTAGCATTTGGGTAAAATTTAAAACCTCAACCCAGTCCAAGTCTCCAAGAAGAAATCGTTTCTCAGTATGAAGCAAATAGCATAGGGCAAAGGGCTGGTTTGGACTATATTAGTCCATATCAGGACATTTCAGGAAACTATGTAACGCCTTTTCACTTTTCCAGCCTAAAACAACACATCTTGAGTATCTTCAAGAGCTAAAATCAACATGCTTCAAATATATGACATCCACACCTTTAAATTTTTTTTAGCCGTTTCCTCTGAAATTGTGCAAAAATCTATAGCAAAGCCAGCTAGTAAGATGTGAATTTTTGTACTTTAATTGTCCTACTGCAGGTCCCTTCATAATGTACTCTTAGAACTGGTTTAGCTCTTGTAAAAACAACTTTTTTTTTGAAGGGTGCAGCTCAACATCTTCAAAGCCATATGCATATGAGTGCATATGGCTTTAGGTTGTTATTTTTTAATGTGAATGCTAAACAGCAGCTGTCAAATTTCCTCATAAAATGAAGAGAACAAATTAAGTTGATTACATAGTTTTCCTAATTTAGTTATTCACTAAACTTTGAAACGGTCCACAATTGTCAGTAAATAAAAATGTTGATTGTTGACTGGTTTAAAGATTGTATGTTGACCTTTTACTAATTTTATTGATTACATGTTTCAGTTTGAATCTACCTTGCTGACTTTTTGTGCATTGGGAAAAAAGGGTCAAAACTAGTGCAGTTCCACCTTTTGACCACATGGTGGAGCACTGTCTTTAATGTACAGGTGTTATGCCCAGAAACGCATGACTGCCCAAAATTGCATCCCCTCTCGCGGGAGCGCGCATCGCTCTGTTCTCTCGCATATTGACGAGAAAACGGACTGAAATATGACCGAAGAGGAAATTTTAAAGATATTTGTAACATTATCACGTTTCTTAACCATGTAATCCCTAAAATGGTGGGTTTTATTTCGCAAATTACTTGAAATAAATACGGTTTTTACACCTTTATTGACACATATGAATCGAACTTTTTTTCAGCCCGTGTAATAGAAATGTTGCCGTAAAATACGCATAGAGGCTCGTAGAGTCGTAAAAAATCTTATTCAAGAGTAAAAAAGTGTTTGGTGAAAAACACTTTTAAAACATACCATCTGATTTAATTAGTATATATATATAAAGTAATCAGGTAGACAAAAACATAGTGTGCAAATGATGAGATTTCAAAGAATAAAATAAATAAGAGAAAAATAAATAAAATCATTACAAAACTAATAAATTAACACAGAAAGAAGACATTTACAAATCAAACACATGTTGTTGTTCTTCATCATGGAGCTTGGGGTTCTGTGCCACCTTAATATCCCATAAATTTCTCAACCAATCTCATTAGCACTTTTCTTCAATAACATAAAAACAGAATAATCAATAAACAAGTGCTCAAAATCAAGACTCCATAGTTTAACACTTTGTATTTAAAATTTGGGTAACTTTTTAAAATTAAGGTGACTAAATTTCAAACTGTTTAGGACATTAAGTAACCCCCAAAAATAAGACTGAAAAAATGCCAGTTGTATTAACGATTTAACTGTTTGGGTCTGAAGAACATTTTTATAAATAGAGATTATTGTTACTTGTTTTGACAATAGTGTGATAATAAGGATCAATATTTGTGATTAAAAAAAAACTTTACCACATGTCATCAACCAAAAATGCTGGTTTCTTTTAAAGAAATATAACAAGATGAGTACACTTTATCACTCAAAAGTCTAGGTGAGTCAACAGTAACACAAATTGGTTTTTTGTGTGTATTATATACAGTGCTCAGGAAGGTGAAAACAGGATGACTTAGCCATATAAACAAAAACAAAAATTTTTTGTTCAGCCTGAATTGTAAAAAAAAAAAACAACCCACCAATTAAAAGCTTATATTTAAGATTATCTCTCATCAGGACTTTATTTTAGGTAGTCACAGGCCGCATAGGACTTGCAGTTTTTTGTCACAAAAACACACACAAAGTTAAGTCCTCTCCCTCAAAAACATTTTAGCAAATCTGTGATGTTTAATCTTAATTTAATCTCAGACATCTCTATTAGTGAAGATTTGAAAGATTAGTGAAATATGTCAACATTGCAGGAGTGGCTGTGAAAATATATTTAGAAACGGTGTCCCTCAAGTTTTCTTGGTTGTGGTTTTTCTGGTGAATTAAAGTTTTTTTCTCTCCTGTGGTTGAGGACACATCTCACTGTTTTTTGGATAATGCAACGAGTCATCTACAATGCTGACGCTATCTTGACTTCTTTGATTGTTGGTATTTTCTCTTAGGCAACTATTTCTATTTCTCCCTGACTTGTTTTTCTTGCTGCCACATTGATCAAAACTTCCAGATATGTGGGAGATTCCACTGGTCTTTTCAGACTTATCTTTCTGCAGTACAGCTAACACCAAGTTTCTCCCACTGCTACAATTGTTATCCCTGTCATCTGGTTTTATTTTACCATTCACAGACACAGAATGGTCAGTGGGAGTACTGCTCCTGCTGCCTGCGTCACATGGCTCACCCAAAGGAGGAGGAGGCGAGGGGGTGAAGTTGATATTTCTTGAACAAAGAGCACTGATTTTTCTCTCCCTGTGTGGTGACCAATCAGAATCTGTGTTCGGTCTGCGAGCCCAGCATTGTGATGATGGATGGGAGGCTGAGTCTCTCTCAGAGCTTATGTGAAGTCTTGAACAAGTCCTGCAGAGAGGGTCGGTAAAGTCTGGCTTTGTGGAAAAGCTAAAGTTCTCTTGGCTTTTAGTCACTTTCAAGTTAGTGTCCATCCTGTTGCTGCTGGTATCTTTAACTGATTCATGAGATGACGATGTAGAGCGATGCAAACCAAGAGTCCACACTGATGAGGTCCTGGCAGGAGGATTATGACTTGGTGGCCTGGGTTTGGGCTGCCACAGTGGAAGCAGATCTAGTCTCGAGCCTGATTTAGGAGAAGGAGCTAAGTGAGTACAAGAGCCAGATTCAGCTGGAAATCTGAGGTGGAAATGGGAAACACATTATTATTTACATATTATGCTACGTTGCAGCTCAATAACATCATTGTGCTCATGTGTAAAAGGAATAATGAAAACATAAAGATGAAAATATAGAAAATAAGTAGGTACTTTGAGAAATACCATAACACACAAACCTGAAACCTTTCTTCTTACTTGAAACAGGAGCAGAGGATGAGGCTTCAGAAGATGAAGGTAGGAGCTTCAAGTCTGTTTGGATGGCTGCTCTGAGTTCTTTCAGCTCTACACAAATGTAGATACAACAGATCTCAGGTCAGAAAAGCTCTGACATGAGAATGTATTAACAAACTGAGTGTGCCTTAAAAACATTTTTTTAAAGTGCTACAAAAGTAGCACTGTAAAATATTAAAAATAAATAACTTTCAAAACGTAAGAGCTCAGTTTGCAAGCAAATGATTTCAAACAAAGCTAAAACCAAAACAGTGATAAAACAGAGCTGACTTAAAATTGGGTTGGTCGTGTAAGATACCGGTCATTTCACACAAAGAGGGTAGCACTAGCTATCATATGGTATAGCAACTCAACTGTAGAGTTCAGAAAACCCATTACATTCATTAAGAAATTTTCACATATTTATCCGAGCTGGGAAAATGATAAAAAAACAAGTTCCAACCTTTTCCATATTTCTAAAGACTGAGTTTTCCTCTTTCAGGAACTTTTTTGTTACTCTTGCTAATTAATAATTTGTCAGCAGGTGGCAGCAAATACCAAAAATATACCTCACCTGTAAGCGACGGTTCAGGCTTTTTTAAGCCACACTGACTTATACACTTCAATTTGATGTTTTTCTGGAAAACACACAATTCACAAGAGAAAGCAGTGAGTTTCAGTTGATGGTGCAGTTTTCATGCACGTCACTGTTATGTGTCAAGAATACTTGCGCAGAAAAGGAAGACACATTGGAAAAAATTAGAGGTAAATGTACTAAACACTCCCAAGACGAGACTCTGGAACCGGGAAGGGAAATGAGCAAAAGGGATAAAAATAACATAGGAAGAGAGGTGAAAGGAATGTAAGTGTGTGTTAGAGAGACCACTAAGCGATGGAGCAGCAGCGTTCCATCATAATTTGGCCTCTAACATATAAATCCATGGCAAATGAAAACCATGCCGCTCTCTGTGTTTGTGTGCTAAAAGTTGGAAAACCCAGATATATGGCATTCAAGTAAGTCTTTATTTGTGCCAGTACACATCATAAGTTTTTTATAGCAACCACAAAGTGTACCACATTTCACACAGACACGCATAAACATAATCACTCATACCTAGCTAAGTCGGGAACCTGGATGTTAAAGCACAAATCACAGTCTCCCAGAGGGATTAAAAACCAAACCTCCAAGTGTTTCCTTTCAGATGAATTATATGTGGTGCTTTTCACATGGAAGAATAAAACCTCTGAAAATGGGTTTCATAAGCCCGCAGAGAGGAGAAACACATTAGCCATGCTCCAAACTTGCTGATATTTTAGGAAGAGCTATGTAAGTTTTGGACTTTTTAAAATATATAAATAAGAAACAATTGCACTGCAATTTCTGTAGGTTCAGTCTCTTCTCCATTAAATGACACGCCTTATACAAATGTGTGAACAGTCTTAGAACATAATCATTTTGAAATGGAATGGCATAATCTCACATTGAAAAATGTGAGCTTCAGAGGTTGACTTCTGTTTAAAAATGAAAGCTGCAAAAAAAAAAAAAGGGGGGTTCTGTGTCACGACAGCTTTTCAAGGGTCTGTTGTGACCCATGAAAAAGAAATCTGTGGAGTTCTGATTGTTATTATCCAACACCTTTGTGATTAGGTAAAAACTTTTGAAACAGTTCTAATTTCCAAAAATGACTGGATTTAAATACACATGTCAATTTTGAACTAATTTTACATGTCACCCTGAAGTATTGAGATGGTTTGTCATACAGAAGATTACAATGTTGTAGCTTATTGAACTGCAACATTCACTCCTATTTAAATGTAGTGTTATAATGCAGCATCAGAGTAGGGCTGTCCTTTAGATGCTACTTTTCAAACCACTTTTAAAGTTAAATGCAAAAGCTACTGATAACCACCCACTGCTTAATAGGACCTTCAGTTGCCACGTATATCACTTGACCCAAATCAAGTTAACTGAATTCTGTTTAGAGCAACAGAAATGCATTAAAGTCACGTTTTAGCAAACAGCAGACATGTCTGAGAGGTGACAATGATGTCTAAGCCGCATGCATAGAATGGGAGCAGATTGTATGCAAATGCAGCTCTGTAGTCCTCTTCTCCAAATCCCCTCGGCAAAGTGAGTCTCTCTGATTTATAGGAAGCTTAGTATAAATTAAGGGAAATGGTACAAACGATGGACTTGAGTAAGTGCATTGAGAAATCAATGCATATTTTCATATATTTCACTAATAAACAATCTGGAGGTTTAATATGTAAAGTTGCAATGCTAATAGAGAAAAAAAGTCGAAATGTTTTTCCATATTTGGGATACTTAATTCTTTTAATTGACTGGATTACTGCTCAGCAAACACATCTTCAGGTGGATGGATATTAGCTGGTTGCAGCACCTCTTTTAAAGCCTTTCTTCTGCAAGACGTTAATGAGTCATACGTCTTTTGTTTAGAACTATATTGGGATGGGTTGCTGCATGCGGCAGTAAAAAAAAGACTGTTCAAACTACGTCAACCTAAAAGCCTAAGGCAGTTCTATTTAACAGCTATTTTAAAATATATTACCTAACCAATCAGATTAAACCCCAAAAAGGAGGTGCTTTATGAGATTCATGAAGGGATATTTTGGGCTGTTTTCGTCTTTATTTCTTTAACTGTAGACTCGAAATAATGAAGCTACGCTGGTCATGTTGTTGAGTTTTGCAAAATGGAAACACGTTTGAGCAGAATGGCCATCAAAATACTCCAAACAAATGTTTGCAATGATGATGTCAAAAATGTTTTCCTGCTTAACTTGTGACGTTGGCCATAACTCCACCTTAAATCTCAGTCCAAACTGCCATCGTTTTGTAAGCAGCGAGTTAAGCTTTAGCCCCCTTGCCAGGTTTGTCATATTGCAACTACAAACTTCAATGTATTTCATGTGGATTTTAGACAAACACAAAGGAAAAGTGTGATTTTGTCAAGCTAGATCAAGTTAAAAGTTTTATTGCTGTGTCTCAGCGGCTCAGGATGAGTAAGTAATGTCTTAAGCTGATAAGCAGTATGAGCAACCACTTTACTTGGAGAATCAGATCAGTGAATTTTATGTTGCTGTCAAAACAAACAAACAAGCAAACAAACAAACAAACAAACAAAAACATTTGTTTTGGTGAGTTAATGAGGCAGTTCTTATCTTGCACAACCAGGAGTGATTGAAGGTGCGTTGGAAGTAGATGCTGTAATAAAAGAGGAGGTTGTTTAAACAATCACTGAAACAAAAACCTTGACAGTAAATTTGTCACGAACTACCAAAAAGTTCGTGAAACTAGTTGTGTTAACTAGTAAAACTAGTTAACACTAGTTGTGTTAACATTGCTTTGGGTGAAGCGGCCTAATTTAAATCCCCTCCTCGCTCCAGTTTGTTTACAAGAAAGGCTTGATGGGGTTTCCAGGCATGCTGGCTTACTTATGTTTCCAACATAATCTTCCAGCTATGATAGCTAGAAAAAAAAACATTTTATAGGTACCTGTTTCCAACTGTTTTCAAAAAATATTCCACTATATAGTAACAAATAAACATTAGGGTGTGGAGGTGGGGGGGGGGGAGGAGTTGAACATCTGGCCCACAGAGACTTCCTACATCTGGGAAACCTCACTCTGTTTTTCTCGTGCAAGATATTGTAGCCAGATTGTAGACACAAATGCACGTGTTCTCCGCATTGTGTGTGCTTTATTCTGCCTTCTTGTGCCTGTTCACCATTTGAGTGGTTGGAAAATAAACCAGTATTTCTTAACATTGCAACAGTTGGTGGGCAGACAGATGAAAGCCTTTGAGTTCCAACCACAAATTCATGTGATAGACTAACACAAAGAAGGACAGATTTGTGAAATGGAAGACAAGTGACTCATGCAAAATGAATAGTGTGGAGTTGTTTTCAGCCTCCTTCACTGTTACACCGCTAAACAAAATTCAGTCAAACCGACTCCAAAGCAACATATTTATTGAATAAAATCCAAGAGTGTCCTTTATAAAGCAAAGTCAGATTATGCATATATTGGCCAAACTTTGAACATTGAACAGAGCACTTTCAATCATCTCGAAATGGAAAGATCACAGCCCAATTCAAATCAAACAAAAATAGTTGTTCATCATTACTGGTGAGCTCGGAAAGGAGAGCTTTAAGCAGAAAGGAAGCCAAGAAAACCATGATTACTCTGGAGGAGCTGCAGAAGATCCACAGCTCAGGTGGGAGAATAATTGACAGAGCGGGTCAGAGCGGTTGGAGAGACGGATGGAGATGTTTACAGGGTAATTCTGATAGAGGCTGCAAAAATAGTTAAAACTGGGGTGTAGGTTGATTTAGATCAAAGCATCCTTAGATGTCGGCCAAGTCAAATCTTCAGACATGCAGTAAATGAAATTAAGAGTTTGCACCATTAAAAGTGTGAGCTTTTTCAAAGAAAAATGGGAAAACTTTAAATTTCTGATATTGTAATGTGTCATTGTAATGTGACAAGATGTGAAAGAGTTCAAGGGGAATGTCAACATGACAGATGAAAAGGTTCAAAAGGGTTTTTAGGTAGAGAAACAGAATCCTTACATGGTTTATTTTATGATTTGTTTTCATATCAGTAAGAAAGTGATATGCTTTCCTTACTTTTTCCCCAAATATGTAATGAAATTATTGACCAGTGTGCTTCAGGAAGATGTGTTTAGTGGTTAGTCATTCGCTAGTCTTACCTTGAAATGTTTTGTCATTTTAGTCAATGCTTCACATTCCGCCAGGAGGACACATCTAAACAGACACATCACAACATAAATGGTGCATTACTATCACAGAGTAAAAAACAGCATACACCAGTAAAACTGCTCAGAGTTTATCCTCTGCACTTTTTCAAATTAACTCAGGAAACAGCACTTTGCTTTATTTTTCCCTCCCAACATCACTCCACTCTTTCTGCTTCTCTGGTTAGATTATCACAGCAGACTTAATTTAGTTCTTTTAAATTAAAAAAAAAAAAAAAGAAGTCCGGCCTGGGTTTCATTTTCTGACAATGAAGCCTTTTGTTCTGGTCTGGTCAGGAAATGGGAGAGAAAGAAAAAGGGAGTGAGAGAAAGACAGAGAGAGAGAGAGAAAGACAGAGAGAGAGAGAGAGAGAAAAGGAAGGGAAGAAAAGAGCGAGGAAAGGAGGAGCTAAAAGGTAGCTTGAGTGCCCTGGGGCCTCAAAGCAAGGGATGAAGTGAGGAAAAGAGGGATGGAGCATGGAGAAAGGGCAGCCTGGTGACAGAGGCCGCAGATAAAGTTTGTAGAGATTTTAAAGGGGGAAATTGCTGAAAAGGAGTGCACTCAAAGGATCAGAGTGAGATCAGGTAGAAAAAAAAATTGCAAACCAATGAAAGAGCAAGTAAGAAAACAGAATCAGAGAGAGGAAATGAAGGATCGTTTGTTACTCCAGAAGGCAGATTGCTTTTCTGAGGCGATCCCCCCCTCCTTCTGTTTCTGGTAAATCTACCAGTACAGAAACCAATCACCCAGTTAGAAGAAGTTTACTCCAGAATACAGCAATGGTACGGAGGAAATTACCCTGAACTGTGGAGTTTTGTGAAGTGAGGGTCCTACACATTTCACTTTCCTGGACTATCCTCAGCATTATATTTCATTCATATCTCAGTTTAAACTCCTCCACCGTTCATACTTTCTTTTAACTTGGACTGTAAAATATTTGAAATGGAGGACCTCTGTTTTCAGCCAACTCTGGAGAAAGAGAAATTAAATCTTCCATTCAAAATAACACTTTTGGATTTAGAACTATTTAGTTAAAATGCTTTATAGCTTTTATCTTGCAAGGCGCACAATATGCTGCAGGTCAATAACAATTTGATACATTTCCACTTGAGTTATTTTTATTTTGGCCTATAAGACAAAATCAAGAATGTTATTATAAAATTCAAAGAGAGCAACTGAGCAACATATTTAAAGCCCTTGAGGCAGACAAATAAATCATAAAAGCAATAGTAGCTGGAGTTTACCTGAGTGGAGTGATCACTCTGTGAATCTCAGTGACATTCAGCATATCTTTAACTGCTTCAATCTCACTCTCAGCGCTGGACATGACAGAAGAACAAAAGCTAGGCCTGTTAGAAGAGAGAGAAAAGCAGTCAGCTACGTTCTTCTTTAGCTGCTGTCTAGTCTCAACCGGTGTCCAAACCTGTTGAAGTTATCAGCAGTTTTGAGGTTGGAGGATCTGCCATAAACAATCTCCTGGTGACCGAGCACATAGCTTAGAGTCTCAGGTTTGTATTGAAGCAGGAGCTCCTCACTGTCTCTGTTACAACAAAAGTAGGAACAAGAAAAGTAAGACCGGTCACATTAGTGAATGTTGTGAAAAACAGTCTGAGGAAAGTTTGACATTCAACACCATCTACGTGTATTTCAGGAGACCTATATAATACCCTAAAAAAAGTATTTGCACACATTAATCACAGTATGTCACATTACAGTCACACAACTTAAAGTGCTTTATTGGGATTTCATGCAAAGCAAAAAAACACGAAGTGGTGCATAAATGTAAGCAGAAAGTAAAATGCTATACATTATTGTGCTTAAAAGTATTTTTCAAAACAATTTGAAAAGTATGGACTTGTTTGTATTCATCCTCTTTTACTTTGATGCACCTAAATAAGATTAGAGCAATCAATATTAAAAAAAATGATTTGTAAAAGCCTGCGACAGACTGGCGACCTGTCCAGGATGTACCCCGCCTCTCGCCCGGAACGTTAGCTGGAGATAGGCACCAGCACCCCTCCCGACCCCCCCGAGGGACAAGGGTGTTCAGAAAATGGATGGATGGATGGATTTGTAAAAGATACTAATTAGCAACAAAATTGACACAAACTCAGGCATTTTCATCTCCCCACACATTTTCACAGCAGCACTGTAGACACAGATATTCAGGCACAGCACCAGTATGGTTCTTACAACCAAAGGGTCCATCCCACTGCGGGCACAAATTCACACAAGGGAACCTCCAGCAGACAAATGACCAGCGAACACCTTCGATAACTGATTCGTAATTAGTGTCTAATGTAGCTAATAAGAAAATGAACACGTTGAAAAACTGTGGACTCGGACTGAAGCTGACAATTAGAGCAGAAGGTAGTCACAACTCACAGCTATAGTTATATAGTTTAAAATTTTAGTGCTGCGACAACCCTATGAGGGGTAAATGGAGAAGTTTAACACTGGGTTAGGTTGAAAATAATAACCGATACTTTTAACACATCATGGAATACTGTTCGGTATCATCCAGAAAGTCTATTGAGTAACTGAAAATCTACAAAGACATAGTCATCCACTTTAAAAATCAGGCTGGGAGGATGAACCTTGACCGGAGAAGCAACAAAGAGGGAAAGCTCAGATTCAGCAGCACAGGCAGAGCTACGGTGCAATTGTTGTGATCCAAACATATTGATGTGTTAGCTTAGTCTGCTGAGAATCTGTGATGAGGCTTGAAAATAGGAAATGGAAAGCTTTCTTTAGAGAAAAGAAAACATTTTCTTGTGTATACAGCTGCAGGAATGATGACAGCTTTGTGCAACCTCATGAATTTTAGCCTTTACTCTTGAGGAAAGTTTGCCTTTTCATACAGCTCAAACAATTACATTGAGCTTTGTGCACGTGAGTGCGTGCGCGAGTGTATGTGTGGGTGTGCGTGTGTCCTACAGTATGAGGGGAGAATGATTGGGGCACCAGGACCACACAACACGAAGCCAATGGAGAAGGGTCCACCTCCACTCCATACACCGCCATACAAAATGATTCAAATCACCTGCAGAATGTTGCACTGACTACCCAGGACCTAACGTTGAAACCAGTTGCTATGGAAGTGTTTTTGGCCAAAGTGCACAGCAAATCAAATTAAAAAGTAATGAACATGAACACATGTATTTCAAGAGAAAGAATTTGCGAGGCTTTGGCAATATTTTCCTACATCCCATGCCAACAAAGCCTATTAAATTGGGGAAAATTGACAAACAGAGGGCTCCTCGAGTGGCTTTGTTGAGTGAAAGTGTTATTAGTTAGAAGTGTGCTGGGTTTACTCCTGAAAGCCATTCAGTTGATATGCACTTGAGACTTAGCCTAATTGAAAGATCAAAGGCTTGAAATGTGCACACCCACACTCAGTGCCATGCATCGAGGTCGACAAATTACACTGACACCAACTTCAGAGGGGAAATACCATTTGTTCTGGTAACATCTGTGTGGTACCAGTGCTTGCTTTGGCTCTTTCCCCATGCAGCCATGAACAATAGGGTACAAGTCTCACACTAAAGGAGACTTTTTATAATCCATTCACATTCATGTGAGACGGGACGTGAGGGACTTGTCGTGTGGAAGCACAGCAGGCATTAATTTGAATTTCTGCTCCCTTTAACGGGACACTGTGCAATTAAAGGTTTTAGGTGTCTTGGATTCTTCAACATAAATCCCTGTCAATTACTCCTAGCTAATGAATATCAGTTTATTTATCTCTATAGTTTTAATCCGTTATGGAGATAATCAATCATAAAAATGCTCAAAACTGACATTGGATTTCACTTATCTCTATGTAGTTATCTGAGAGTTAACATTTAGACCTTCTTTCTAATGAATGCGATTCTGATCCCTGCTTCGCCAGTCGACTCTTGTGACACATGACCAATTATGACCCCAGATCAAAGCAAACGATATAGGAGTGACCTTTCCAGGTATATTATATTTATTGATCACATAACCACATATCTATACAGCAGACCAACAGTGTGAATATGTAGAAAATGACTCAAATCACTGCTTGTCAAAGCATCCTCCGGTTTGATCAAAACTGCAGAAAGTAAGACATGATGTTGTTGTGGAACAACCATGGACAATTTATGTAAAATTAAGATAAAAAATACAAATCAAACAACAACATGGAATAGAGCTCCACATCAGGTATGTTTAGGAACCAAAAAAAAAAAAAAGCAAATTAAAACTTGAGACGCAAATTTGGAGAACAATTTGAAGACAAAACCAAGATCAACTATGTTGCTCTTTTGTTACAGCTCCAGCCCTAAAACCAGCATGGGGTCTTGCAGGGCGACATTCTTAGCAGCAAAAAGCTGGTTGCCAGGATACCTAAATTTATGCAGACTTTCACACACTCTTGTGCATCTTCTTGTGACCAAGATATTCCAAAGTTTGTCAAATTTAAATTAAACAACCTATACAAAATCATTCCTCATTTAAGATGTACTTGGAGAAGCTGTTGGAAAAAAAACATAGGTTCCAGTTCTTCAAGAGAGCTATGTTTGTCTATGGGGAGCATGCTACGCCATATATCTTTTGAGTATATAAAAGATATATGGGGTAGCAAGCTCTGTTGAAGTCTCTCTGAGCTCTTTTCACTGAGTTCTGCCATAAATCTTTGTAGTCACCAACTTCTTAAATGGTGTCTGCTATCGTTAGAATGGAAAGCATGTCTTCCTCCTATAATTGTGCTATTGTTATGGATTTTCTGAACCTAACTGTGTCCTCCTATCCCTGAAATCTTTGTTTCACTGCTTTCCCAAGTCCTTTCTAACTCCCTCAGGAGAACACTATAGCACTTTATTGCAGTCTTTGTATGTGTACAAACTGCACAGATAGTAAGTCACTGCATTGTGAACTGATTGCCTCAACATTTACAGTAGCTGGTGATAAGGGACGCAACACTGTTTTTCAGATCAGAAAAGCCAAAAAAAAAACAAAACAAAACAGAATTTAGACAAGAGCACAGTTTTAAAGTTTTAGTCTGTATTTATTATGTGGCATAAAGTGAATGCAATATTTGCCTTTATTGACATCTTCGAAATTCCACTACAGTTCCAAGAGCTTCTACAATAATAATATTTTTGTTAATTCATTAATGATGTAGTGTAGAGTTAAAGTAAACTTTGAGAGTTACCAGTACATTTCACTGTTGCAGGCTCTTCCTTTGAGTGTCTCCAGTAACATCTTGGCCTCAGCTCTCACCAACTCTTTCACAACAGGCGGGTCAGAAAGACGGGAGCCCTGTAGTCGGTGGCTCCCATAACACAGAGTCTCCTGCCACTTCTTGTGCCACATCTCTGCCTGCAGATGTGACAAAAATGAAGGGAGTTAGACATAATCCTCAACAAAACTCCACATTTTGCTTTTCATATCTGATCGCCACAGTGGCTCTGCAGACAGATTTTCTTTATGCGGACAAAAGGAAAAAAAAACGGGAGGATATTCCAAAACGTGGCAATAATTTACACAACCATGCAGTGTGACTAACCCTTCTTGATAAATTTAAGAAATTTATTTATGGAAATTCACAATTTGTGTCCATTCTTCTTTGCAAATTAGCTCAAGCTCAGACAACTTGAATGTAGATTTCTATTTCTGAGTAAAAAGCAAAGTCAGTAGAGCCGCCCAAAGGATAACATGCAAAAGCATATTTGAATATTTGCTTCCGAAGTGTCTTTGGTTGTTGAATATAAAACTGGTCATAATATAGAACAAAACCACAAGTAAAGGCGTAAAAAAAGTAAATTATTGTAAAAAAAATCATTTTCAAAATAAAAATATAAGATGTCTATTTCTGAGGTGAGTTAGTGTCAATATGTAAAAGTGAGTCTGTACCTTTAATAAAGCATCTTATAAAAAACTTCTGGAATCCTCCAGAAACGTTTGCTCTATAAAAACACTGAGAAATGGTTTCAGCTTACATTATATTATGTTAGGATAAAATATTACCCTGTAAATAATTGTATGTTCTTTAAGATATGGTGTAGCGTAGTGGTATAAAACAGACCTGTACTGATCTGAAAACAGACCTCTGGGTAGAGGACCAGTCAACCTCTCAGTTTCTGTAATGTGTGTGAGTGTTTCTGTCTCGGAGGAGTCTGGATACCATTAGCACCTCAACGCTTGCTGACAGTCATTGCTGCTGTGCTGCACTCAGAGACTTCACTTCAAAGGAACACATTGAAGGCGACTAAACATGTCACTTCTGAGCCTTCCATGTATGTGCTTGCTCATTCACACACCAGTATGAACTGCGTCTTGCAGCTGCACACAACTGTTTTTAAGCACACACTGTTTTTTTCTGTCTGTTTTCAAATGATTAGGTGTTTATGTTACCTGCTGGCTACTGACAGGTTGTTCTTGGGTATTTGCTCCATTTCTCAGCTCATTGTGAAGTTCACTTTAAGGTGCACTTTTGGAAAACAGCAGTTAAAATATGACTATATAATAATAATGTTGAAGATTGTTCTACTTCAGTCTTACTGCAAGGCCAGGGGCATTCCACAAGGATAGTTTCTTAGTCATATAATCATTTCACCTTGTACAAACCACATAGGAAAAGGTATTTCAAACTCAGACTTTCACTTCTATGCTGATGATACTGTAATTACTTTCCATGCCTACTCCTGCAAAAGCTCTTGATCATCTTTTACAAGTTACAAATCTCAAGCAGGTTCAAACAACTCAGATTTTTTTTCCTTAAAAACAGTTTTAAATTGAAGGAAAGCAAAGTTTATGAAATGTATGTTTTTCGCTACTTTGAGAAGACAAAGCACTGGAATTAATGCCTAATTTTTAACATTTAGAACTTTTGAATGATGATAATTTGTGTTTAAGGACTACATTCATCATGTAACTTTGGCTCTCTCACTCAATAATACCTACTCTTCACTCATGCATACTTGTCATTTGTACTTGAATGTTAACCCAGTCAGTTGTTTTCATGCAAAGCTCCTCTTGATAAAACTATTTGTACTAAATTAGTTAAGTATTATCTTAGTGAACTCTTTTTTCAATGGACAGTTTCAAAATATTTAAGAAAACTGAACTGGCAAACACAACTTTCATATTTTGGAATATCATCTACAAAGTGTTGTGTCTTTGAAATAATTTCAAATGGTGAAAGCTCTGAAATCAGGTTAACTGTGTGTAGATGTTTCTCGGTATGATTTTGCATAATTTACTACTCCGCTGTGGGATCTTTTGCTTGTGAACTGTGGTGCTTCTCTGTGTGTTGGCTAGGTCTCCCTTGCAAAAATATATTTTGCCATTGAGGAAAAAATGGTTAAATAAAGAAAGTTAAATATATCTTAAAGGAGACGTTTTTGGACAGCTCAGGTTTGAGGGGTACACAGTGAGAACTTGCCCTGGAAGGAAATCAAGAAAGCTTAATATGGACTTCATATCTAACCATCTTACACAATGAGGACTTTGATAGAGGGAGGAACAAATTTATTAAGGAATGAAGGAGTAGCCTTCTGATGTAGTATCACCTTACTTTTCACTGAGGCATGGATTCATTACACAGCTGACTGTCTAGCAAAGGGAGAAAGAAGCTGCATGAACACTGGAGACAGAATATGAACTGCAAAAGACCTTATTAAATCTGAAAATTGAACTAAGTTATACTTTATAAAAAGTAGAATATGAGCATAAGAATAAGAGAGACCCGTCTCTTATATAATATTTCAATATTCATATAAGGTGACCTCAAAATGAGTTTCACTTCCAAAATGTTCCTTTGTCTCTTCCAGCAACAAAGTTTTAATACTTACAATTTGTGTATTTTTATCAATGCATTTCAGATTGCCATCTCTCTAGTACTTAAAGTCACAATATCTATTAATTATAGACACAATATTGATAACAGGTTTGAAACTGAAACATTACAACAACCTTTGTGTGCAATCTGAGAGCAAATTGTAGTAGCTCATAATAATTTTGGATTTGATGCCTTTTTTATCTGAAAATAAATGTATTTCAATGTGAAGTAAAGAATACAGAGTTTAGAAAATACATTGTGTGGTGATACCTTTAACATGTTAAAGAATTTAAATGGAACGATTGTAAGCTGTTTAATGTGGCTTTGATATGTAAAGGTGCCTCAAAAACTCATATGTTGTCGGAATCAAGAATAGATTATCTGGTTTGAAAGCTGAGGAAAACTTTATCTAAGAGTAGGCAGGTTGTTGTTTGCTCCATGAGGAGAAGAGAGACCTAAACTGACAGGTTCAGGAAAGGAGAGCATTAATCAAAGACATAGCAAATAAGCACGCAAGTAACTCAGGTGGGGCAGCTGAGGCACAGTTCAGAAGGGAGAATCTGTTGACAAAGCAGCTACTACATTATGAACTGCACAAATCTGCCCTTCACAGAAGAGTAGTAAAAATGTTACTTTAAACTAAAGCTACAAGAAGTTCCATTTGAAGTTTTCCAGATGCAAATATGTGGAAGAAGGCGCTCAGATCAGAGGAGATCAAAACGCGATGGAAAACCAACAAGTTGCAACGCTGAGCGTGATGAAAGATAGTGGAGGCATCATCATGTTGTGAGGATGCTTCTCTTCAGAAGCAGGAACAGGAAGTTTGTCAGGAATTATGGGAGGATGGATGAAGTTAATTACAAGACAATTGTGAAAGAAAATCTATTTAACTTGAGAACGGGCCAACGTGTCACAATCCATTTCCCAGGTTAACAGTCCTTGATGATTTTGTCACGAATAGCAAAACGTTGAAATTCATTTTTCTTGAGATTTTGACAGAGGCAAGATGTGCATGCATATATGTTCTTTTAGATAAATGCTTCTAATTCTCATGCTTAATACTTTTTGATTAAGACATTTATGAACAATTTCTTCCTAGGCTTTTGAACTATTTTTCATTCACTTTTACTAGTGTTTTTTTCTTTTCTTTTCAAAACTAAATTTTGTTTTTTTTATTTCTGTCTTGACTTTGTACTAGCCTGTTTCATGAGAATTAGTACCTCAAGTCTGGCTTGTATGAAAGCAAACAGGGCTTTGGACTGAGAGTTTAGCTAATCTTGAATAAATATCAATATCTATCTGGCTTGCATTTTCACTGCTTTGAAGCACAAAGAGTCAATTCACTTCTACTTCTGTTATGGCTTCATGGGAGTGCAAGTCAGGAATGAAGCCAAACTACTTCCTTATACAGTCTAGGACTGGATTTCTTTTCTAGGAATGCTTAGCTGTGCAACTTTTTATTTGCCAGGGCTAAAAAGGAAATTCTTGCAATTGTTGTGGCTTCATTCTGGTGGAAATCTGCTAAAAATAGACTCAGGATTCCTACAAAAGCTACAAGCAATGAAGTCATTTCTTCTCGGACTGAGAAAAGCAGGTCCTTCATCTTAAAGTCAGCCATGCATGAATCAACGGTCACACAAAAGACATGGAGCCTTCATAACTAACCTCTGAGTGAACCTCTGTGTACATGTCGACTAGAGGGTCACCCAAAGCTGCATGGATCTTCAGCAGCTCTGACTCTGAGACATGTTCAGTGATGAGGCTCCACAGAGACTGTCCGGGACACCAGAGCTGGTTTTCATCAGGTGAATGCATGTGTGGGGCGGACTGAGCACAAAGGAATGCAAAAATCACTGCAGCGCGCAGAACGTGAGGTAACTTGAAACATGTTGAGCAGCCCCCCAAAAGTGAAGAAATGTTACAAACAGCATAAACTAAATGTAACATAATTGTACACTTTCTACGACAGTAAAGAAACCTCGCACTCTAGGGTTTTTACTAAATTGGAGCTGTGAGTAATTTCTTTCTTCAAGAGTGAAAATGTTCTCCAACAAATTGCTCTTTTTAACAAGATCACGCTAATTAGCAGCCCTGCTGTTTACATATATTTAGCACATCACCCTTTGCCGACAACACAGCACTTATTGTTCTTCTATAACATTTCACAGTGTTAAACCATACAGAGAAATTAATATTTTGCATTTTATTTGCACAATTTAATACAAAATGATGGGTCCTTTTTGTTATCTCTTCGTCTCACACCACAGGTTTTCTGTAAGATTTTTGTTTGGAAACTCAGATGAAGTTTCATTTCTTTTCACAATTTGTCTCTCCAGCTGGCCATAGGTTTTGGGTTAGTATCCTGCTGAAAATATAGAAATAACTATCTTTTTTTTTTTGCAAATTTTTATTTAAAATGTCAAATAGGTTTCCTTATTGCAGCCTGCAGCTTCACATATCCTCCACCATAATCATTGGTGTATTTCTCGATAAAAGGCTACATAAGTCACTTACCAGAGTGGTATCAGTAACTATGTTAATTAAAGTATCACATCAAAAGCATGGATCAAACTAGGTAATTCAGCAACCAATTACTTTTTTGACAGCCTCTTATTTTTGACTGTCTGCACTGTATATCTAATTGCATTGTTTTTAAGGTGTTCATGACATTTTCAGCAACAAATCCTTTATTGCAACTTTTAATACACTTTCACTCTTTAGAATGTAGCTACAGTAAAATAGAAAGAAATAATGCATTACTGCTCTGTTTGGTTGGCCAGTCCTAACAACATTATTAAAAAAAAATATTGTTGAAGTTTAAGCTTTACAGTTTCTTAGGATTTCAAAAAAAATAAAAAAAAATCAGTTAATCATCAATATTGTAAGGAGCCAGACTGAAAATGTTAAAATTACAAGTAAAGTAAGTCAGCATTTGTTCAAGCAGCACATTGATCTCTTGTTTTAAACCCAGCTTTTTTTTTTTTTTTTTTTTTTTTTTTAAAAAAACCAAACGGTTCAAAAAGAAAATATAAAAAAAGTCAAAAAAAAAAAAAGGAAAAGGGCCCATGG